GGTTTTCTTGGCAGATACACGATCCATGCAGTGAGTCACGTTGCAAAGTATGTGAGCAGGTTCCTCCCTGTTCGTCCTGCTCTTTTACCGCCTGTCCACAAAGGCCCATAGCAAACAGATTCTGGTCTCTGTATGATTGTTTGTTTTGTTTTGGTTTGGTTTTGTCTTGGGTTTTTCTTAGCTCTCATTATACAGATTGTGAAGATTGTGATATGCAATAGATGGCAGCTAATCTTATAGAAGCTGCCGCCTAAAGATGCCCATGAACATTCAGTGGGTAATGTGTGTCTGGTGCTTAGCACACTCCTGGTACTTGGTGCTTTCCAAAACTCCCGTTCTGTTTTTGTTGGAGCTAGAAATGGACCAGGGTCTTGAAAATGCCCCTACAACCTAGCTACTCTTGCTGTGGCATTAGTAATGAGGCACCTGGTGTATAGGACTTAGCCATTATCTCTCAAGAGAAGCTGCCAGTAGCTTCAGGCCCAGGTGACTTTGACTTTTCCCAGGACTTTGGAATTCTCTCCTGTAAGTACACAAATGTGAGGTGAAAGGCACTCGTTGCCCTGGGGTAATGGTTTAACGGGACATTTTATAGCCTGACAGATCTGCTGTTCTCACTAAGCCCTTAGTGGGGGAAGGAGAGGAATAAATTCATACTTAGTTGGGGAAGGAATCTTGTCTAAGTCTATGCCTACATTTGTAACAAAACACAGAAGCTGCCTCTTATTTCTGATTTTACTTAGCTGTAGTTTCAGCTAACTGGGGTCAACTATAGTCTGAAAATATTAATTGGAAATTTCTAGAAATAAACAATTCTGAAGTTTAAGATTGTACATCATTCTGAGTAATGCCCTGTCCACCTGTAATTACTATTGCTCAGCCACCAGCTCCCAGCTTCTGTGAAATTCTTATCTCCAATGGGGAGAAGGGATGGGAGGGCAAGGATGGGAAGGGGAAACAAAGGAGGAAGCAACAATGCTTGATAAGAAATGTACTCATTACCTTGCTCATGTAATTGTAACCCCTCTGTATGGTATTTTCACAATCAAAAAAACTTATTAAGGGCTGGGAAGGTGGCTCAGTGATAGAGCGCTTTCCTTGCATGCCTGAAGCCCTGGGTTCGATTCCTCAGCACCACATAAGCAAAAATAAAAAAGCCAGAAGTAGTGCTGTGGCTCAAGTGGTAGAATGCTAGCTTTGAGCTGAAGAGCTGAGGGACAGCGCCCAGGCCCAGAGTTTAGGCCCCACGACTGGACCAAAAAAAAAAGTATTAATAATAAAAATGGGACTAATAAAAAAAAACAAAGTGGGGTTGTGAATCAAGTGGTAGAATGCTAGCCTTGAACACTAAAGCTCAGGGAAAGTGCTCAGGTCCAGAGTTGAAGCCCTAGACACCAAAAAAATAAATAAAATAAAGGAAATTCAAGATTTCCTCAAGAAAGGAACTCTTACCCTTTTCCCTTTTCCCAAAGATCACAGTGTAAAGGAGGAAATTCTGGACACTGGGCCCCATGGTTTGGGGTAGTTTTATTTCCAATGGGGGAGGAAGCTGACTTTTCTAAATATGTCTTTTGCAAAACTCCTGTTAGAGACTGGAGATGTGTGCTCTCCTCTCCATGCATATGCTGGGATTCTAACTCCCCCAAGATGGTGGCACTAAGAGGCAGAGCCTTTAGAAGCCTATTGGATTGTGTCCATGGAGCCCTTATGAATGGGATTCGCATCCCTGTAAAAAGGAACCCCAGAGAGCCCTAGCCTTGCTCTGCCACATGAGGACACATGGGACAGTTGTGTGCTAGGCAATAGACTTTCACTACACATAAGACCTGCTGCTCTCTCCACCTTGGACTCCCCAGCCTCTAAGAAGTGAATGTGAGTTATGTAAGTCACCCAAACTGGCAGAGACATAGCAAACTCTAGGAACTAGCCATTACAAATCCTCCCCATTAGTAGGACATTAGCGGGAGGGAGAGGCTGACCTGCAGCTCCATGCTTCTACCTCTTACTTCTACAGCATGGGCACGTGTGAACACAGCAGGGACTAGTTGGCACAGTCACAGCCTTACCCTTTAGTGTATTACATCTTTTTCTGCTCCTGAGAGTTGTCTATTGAGGTGCAGAGAAAGAAGATTACCTGTGCTTCACGCTTCACCCAACCTTGGAGGACACAGGCAACAATTGGGCAGTAGAGGGAGGAGAAATGGCCGCTGGAAGTGAAACAATTCTGGTTTGGATCCTTCTCCATGGAGCAGCTGCATGACCTTGGAGAAGTTACTCCAAGTGGAGATGACAGTGAAAGCACCTCCCAGGACTGTGGGGAAGACTGGGTGTGCTAACAGAACCTCAGTGAACCACCTGGGATGGTGTGTGTTAACCCAGAAAGCAGCCAGGAGCTCCTGGGGGCCAGAGGTGTTTATGTCCTGGATTTCCTGACAATCCTCCAGTCATCCGTATTTCACTCTAACTGCCTCAGGCTTGTTCAGATAGAAGTTTCCCAGGCCCAGGACTCTGTAAATAGTTTACATCCTCAGGCTGCTTTTCAGGAGGAGGCCCCAGCAGAGGCTCCTAGAAAGAAGCCATTAACTCATTCCCCCATGTACCTGACTCTCTGCTAAGGGTAAATTTAGAGAGGAGGAAGGCCCAGCTAAGAGCAATTAAAAGCAGTACTTGAGGATCTTGCCCGAGGGCCTGAGGTCTCACTACACAGAAACAGTAGGAAAACTAGAGGGAAAGGCTTCCTTGTTTCTTCTGACCCGTAGCTGGATGTTCAAAGGGAACCTTGACCATCACTTTCCAGGCTTTCCCTAATCTAGCCAAGACTATCTAAGAGAAACTTTTTTTTTTTTCATCCTGCTGTCCCTCCACCTCTCCTCCAGCCATCTTCCTTACCTTTTCTGTTTGAATCTAATGCCAGGAGCTTTTCTAAACGATCAATTACTATTTCCAAATTATTGTTGTACCAACTATCCCACAAAGGGTGCTATTTTCCTCTCCCACCCCAAGATTATTCTACTACTAATTTTGGGGCAGGAGTTCAAGGCCAAGGTATAGAATGCTTTTCACATTTTTTAACTTTATTTTTAAATGAAAAAATGACTCTGTGCTTGAGAGAGTGTGGGAAGGGGAGAAAGGTCCCTGTGTACAGCATAAAGCCTCCCTCCATTCTCAGTGTCCCTTAATCTCACTATCTTGAAAAAGCACCACTGAACAGTTTGCCATGCACCCTGCCTCCTTCTCGACATTTCTGACTTGATCATTTAACAGGAATGTAATGACTGCCTCCAATGTTCTGGAGACAGTGCTTGATACCAAAGATAGGACCAATGATAAGTAAATATAAATTTATATATGAGCATATATGTGTCATCTTGACTAGCAAAAATATTTTTTCACTCAATATTTCATGTTAGCATGCAGAAATAATTCATATATCTCTATCTATCTATCTATCTATCTTTGTGGTTTGAACTCAAGGTTTTGTGCCAGGCCAGCTTTCTACCCCCTTTATTTTTAAAGATAGGGTTTTGAGCTTTGGCTGGGTGCTGGCCTGGGACCACTTCCGACTGCCTAAGCTGAAGTTATAGGCATACACCACCAGGTCCTGTTTGTGTTTTGAGATTGGGTCTTGTTAACTTTTTGCACAAATTGGCCTTAAAATATGGTCTTCCCATCTCCACCTCCCATGTTACCTGGACCAACACATTTATGAATTTTAACAGCTACATCATATTCTGTTAGAAAGATGTGCCAAATAGTATATTACCTATGTTGTTATTGAAATAGCCTGAAATGGAGCTGAGGATATAGCTAAGTTGTGGAGTGCTTCCCTAGCATGAGTGAGGCCCTAAATTCAATCCCAGTTCAATTCCAGCACCAGGGGCAGGGCAAGCTAAAAAAAATGCATAAAACATATTGCCTTTCCCTTTGCTTCTAGAATGTTGATCAACCTGCTTTGGGTGTGGTGCTTGAGCAGAACTTGGGAAGACCTGGTTGGGACGCTCTGGGGCCGAGAGACAGTGAGGGCTACTTGAACTCCTGGCTCTTCCAAAGGCCCACAAGTCTATCACAAGAGCCCAGTGTAGAGAGCCCAGAGGGTCAAGGGCTTGGCTGGATTCACACTTAGTCCCTCTGAAGTTCCCTCCATAAATCCCATCACTTTCTGCTGTCCCCCAAGTCACCTGCATGTATGTTATCAGTACATACTGCTGTGGCATCATCCTGCCTCCTGCATCCCCTTTGTATAATACATTCTGCAGACTGTTTATTAAACAGGAGGAAGGGAAGGGAAGGAGAGGAGAGGAGATAAACTGCAGGTCATGAACTGGGAAACCAGGGAGGTGGGGGTAAGGGAGTGTGTGTGTGTGTGTGTGTGTGTGTGTGCACGCACACATGCACGTGTATTTGTATACCCATATGCAGGGGCATGGACATGGAGTCCTCCTCTATGGCTAAGGGCAGGAAATGCTGTTGTTAAGGTTTTTTTTTCCTTATTGTTATTATAAAGGTGATGTACAGAGGGGTTACAGTTACATAAGTCAGGTACAGAGCATATTTCTTTGGGGACAATGTCGCCCCTTCCCTCACACTCTCCTAGCCCCCCCCCACACACCCCATTGATGTTTTACACAGTGAGAGTAGATAGTGGCCAGCTGGGCTCTCGCATCCCTTCCCATTATCTGTCCCCAGTCTCCTCACTCAAGGCTCAAGTTCAAGCTCCTTGCTGAGACATCGTCCCAGGCTCAGGGCGGCCTTGCTGGCTCCCAGCTGGGTGGTGAAAAACAAAAATTCAGCCTAATTGGTCCCTGGCTCTTTCCAGTGAACGAAGGAGGTTTCTGTTTTAAGAAATGAAGCGACTTCTCAGCGGTTGATTCACTGCCCACAGGGAGATTTCTGAGCAGAGGCTGCCCGGCCTCGGTAGAGATTTGCATACAGCTTCCACTTCCTGCTTCCGAGCCTGTTCTACAACTTACCTGGGCCGGGAGAGGCTGTGGGAGGGAGGGCTAGGGCGACCCGAGGCGGAGAGAGGAGAGTGGAGAGGAGACCACCCCCTGGGCTGGCTGGCTGCCCTGTCGGTCTGTGCTGGATCTAAGGTAAGCAGTCTTACTCTAGCCTCCTCTCATGGCTCAACCACTGACCTATTTTCCAAAACACGGCGTTTTCTCCTAGGCTGAAGCGTTCTGCCCCCCCTATTTTCCTCTGCCCTCACCCCCCCAACCCCCCTTAACTTGTTCTGAGATCAGCTCAGGCAAAGAACATGACAGGAAGCTTTTGCAGCCAGAACGTGTTGCTGGTTTAATGTTTCAGACAGGGGTGAGCCAGGATTAACTCTTTGAAGGGAGAACACCACACACACACACACACACACACACACAGAGGTACATTTTTTCCAGCTGTTTGGCCACCATTTGTTTGAATACTAAGTCTCCTCACAAGTGTTGACCAAGAATTCAAGTCCTACTCCTCTCAAGAGCACATGATGGCAAGAATGGAGCAGCGTGCCCCAGGTCAAGTCAGTAACAGTGAGAAAGAGAACTCTCTATTTTTTCTATGCTAGTTCTATGTTGGGGAAATTAAAAAATCCACACTGCATACTTGGGCCCCAAGTCCTTCTTTAACCCTCTCCACAGCACAGCTAGATAATTTGCTGGCACTGGATAGAGCTTTGGGGGTCCTGACGGGGGAAATGCTGGTACTTGAACCTTGGAGGCGAATCTAGTTTCCTGTGACTTTTGATTCAAAGTGTTTTCTATTCTTTTTACAAATGAGAAAAAGGAGACCAAATGGATCATTTTAAAAGAGGATAGGAAACTTGGCTCCAAGTTGTCACTCTGTTTTGTATAGTTCCATCTCTTATTTTGGCTCCCTGAGGCCTGGATATGTTCATAGTAAACTCTGTGTGTGTGTGTGTGTGTGTGTGTGTGTGTGTGTGTGTGTGTGTGGTGTGAACATGGTTATGTCCAATTCTTTTCCAACAAAACAAGGCTTGGGTAGTCTCAGAGGGGTAGTAGAAATGGGTGGGTGGTCTCGGGAAGACTTGCTTTGTTTACTGATGGTTACACATACATTTTAATTCCTCTCTACTAGTTGGAAAACACCCACCCCACACACAGCAAGGACAAAGCGCTTTGTTTCTTAATTTTCTAGCCTCGAGAATCCAGCACACTGTCAAAGGCATTGTAGGCACCGAGGCTCCTTTCCCACAAGCTTCTTGATTGCCTCATCTGCTCTCTAGGCCATAGGTAAAGCAGCCAGAGCAAGTGGTTGGTGAGGCAGGGGGAGGCAGAGGGAGGCTGGCAGAGGCTGGGTAGTGGTGGCTCTGTGGCAGAGCTGCCTAAAACAGAGGTATCATTTTTGGCTCTCACCAAATAGGAAGAAACAGAGGATTTCTTGAATTAGTTCATGTCCCACTTGGGTTACCCAGGAAGCATAGCTCCATGCACTTATTCACAGAGACAAGGCAGGCCAGGGAATTGGCAGGCAAACTCAGCTCCAAAAGCCAGTGGCTGACTTACTTGGAGAAGGAAAACCATCCTGGCAGGAACAGTCATTGTGTGGGGCCTTTAATGGGAGGGGAAAGGAAATAGTGAAACACATTCTCGCTCCATGTAAGGGCGGTGACTATGATTAGATTCATTATTAGTTGGTGGATACAGTAAAGGCTTAACCTTTTCCAAACCACTGCTTTAAAACAAACACAAAACCTCAACAAGTTGTTATTGTTTCCTTAGGGGAGTTACTTGCTGTAATACAGTTCCAACACTCTTGCCGCGTGGATGGGCTACTTCAGGGCCTTTGGTACTATACAACTTTCGGTAGGATATCAAGGCCATGTGATAATCCTCCTGGTGTTTTGTTTTTGATGTTTCTCTGTATTCCCGAGAAGACAGGAATATCAGCATGTTTCACTTGTTCTGAGTTCCCTGATTTCTTTTAATTGAATTTTATTGTAAACGTGATGTACAGAGGAGTTACAGTTATCTAAGTCAGGTGAACAGTGTCACCCCCTCCTTCATTTTCTCCCTCTCCTCCCACCAAGTTATATAGTTCATTTCCAACATAGTGTCTGGTATCACTGCTGATTGGTTCACCCTTTGTCCCACTGCCCCCCCCTTTTTTTTAGCAAATCACAATGCATCATTATCTAATATCAGACTAACTGCTGTTCAGCTGCTAACTTAGCTTTAAGCCATAAAGGCCCCACCACAGCCCTTCTGCATCTGGTGTTGATCCCATTCCACCAGGCATGATTGGAGACAGACCGTGGAGCCTCTCTGCCCTGTTGATTGAGTGAGAGCGGCTAACAGAGAGGTCTGGATAATGTGAGGATGTTTTGGAGGGAAAGCTTCCAAACTTGAGGACTCTCACTTTTATAAAATGTGAAAGCCTGCTTCTCCCAGGATTAAGGAGTAACTTCCAAATGCTCAGGAAATTACAAGAAGAGGAGAAAGTCATGTTTATAGGCATCTTTTAACAGGAATTCAGCAAGATAGATACAGTGGGGTAGTTTGTCTAAATTAAATCAATGTTGTACACATTGCAGAATGGAAATCTCAGATAGATCCTGAATTCAAATCATTTTTCCGCTGCAGGCAATTTTAGATTAGCCTTTAAAGGCACACATATATGAATTGCAGGCAACCGCAGCTGCAGAAGAGAACACAGATGAGAACATTAAACTTTAAATTCCTTTCAGATCTAACTAAATGACCCCTAATGTTTGATCACATTTCCTTATCAAAACAATCCAGCAGCCTTCCCTGAGAAAGCATCTGAGGGCTGCCCCCTGGGCCTCTCCCATTTCTTCCCACTGCATTGTCACCGAGATATTTTTAGCCCAGAAAGCCAGGCTGTCCTTTTCCCCCTCCAACACTTCTTGTCGCATGCCCACATGTGCTCTGGGCCTGATGGCTCTCCTCTGTGCCGGTGAGGATCCTGGTGGTGATGGACACAGAACTTCCTGGAGACCAAGGGATCTAACCTGACGGAGGGAGGGTAGGCCTCGTTCATGTGATGGCCCTTAGAGCTGTACCAGTGTTCCCTGATGAGGCAGCTGAAATCAAGCTGTTTGGGAGGGAAAGGATCAATGTCCCCCTCGTTATTCTGTGTGCCCCCCCAAACCGTCCCCTTAGTTGCCTGGGATCTTGGCAGTTCATTTTGCCATAAAGAGATCTTGGCTCTCCTCTAGGCATTGTTCTGTGACAGGCTCCATGGTTTTCCTTTTTCCTCTCCCTGGATCAACAGCCCTCTGTCCCTTCCCAGGACTCTGCTGCCACTCTGAGCTGTTGGTCCAGATGCGATCTGCCCAACAGCTTACCCTGTACTCTCTTGCCTGTTCCCCATATCCATTCTTTTCCTTGTCTTCCAGCTGACCATTCTCATATTCATAACACATACATATCAGAAGTTAAAGAAATCTCTCCTAGTCTAATGAGGAGCAAGTTAATTTTTTTTCCTTAGGGTTTTCCTTTTTCTCCCCTTCCTTTCTTCTTCACTCTGTGGCCTGGATTCAATTAGAAACCACAAATGTGTGCTTAGAAAAAACATCTTATCTGGAAAAACAACAATTATAACAAAAACAATTACAACAAAAGAACCCGAACCGGTTTGAAGCTATTCTCTGAATGTTTATTAGCAGCTTCCAATGCATCAGAATCAGTCTGTTCCCATTAATCCATCTTCTCCTCCCTTTCTGGCACAGAGGTGTCTGGGGGCAAACTTCCTCAGATCAGGTCAGCTAATGCTAGATTTCACTCAGCCAGACGTGAGTCCTCCAGTGCAGCGTCCTGTCCAGAGCCAGGAAATGACCCAGCATCTACAGGGCTTGCGCTGTTTCCCATCCTCTGGCAAATCCAGTGGAAGAACTTTGGTGTAAGGGAAATTCTGCAAGTAAACTTGGAAACATTTGTTCACTCGGGTTTGAATCTGAGCCAAACCCTTTACTCCACTGAGCAAACCAATGTTATGAAAGTTTGCATGCTTTGGGGCAGTAAACAAAGAACATTAATAAGTTTGCTGATTTAAACAAGGGGGGAAAAAACAGCGTCTTTGCCAAGTGCAGTGGCTCAAGTCTGTAATTCTAGCTACTTAGGAGTCAGGATTGAAGGATCAATGGTTCAAGGCCAGCCAGTGCATAAACATTTTTAAGACTGCATCTCAACCAATGGCTGCACCTGTTACCCAGCTACAGGGGAGGTACAATGGCTGGGCACAGTGGTATGTATCTGTCACCCCCAGTGACAGTGACAGTAAGGAAGATGATTGCAACCCAGGCCAGCCTGTGCTTTGAGACCCTACCTTGAAAATAACCACAGCAAACTAGCTGGAGGTGTGGCCCAAAGCTTTGAGCATGAGGCCCTGAGTTTAATCCCCAGTATAAGCTGTCTCAAGTAGATACATTAAAAAATATTCTAGCCAGGTGTGAGTAGCTCACACCTGTAATCCTAGCCACTCAGAAGCCTGAGATCTAAGGATCACAGTTTAAAGCCAGCCTGGGCAGGAAAAGTCTGTGAGACTCTTATCTCCAATTAACCACCAAAGAGCCAGACATGGAGCTCAAGTAGTGAGTGCTAGGAGTAGTGGCTCAAGTAGTAGAGTGCTAGCCTTGAGTAAATAAAGCTCAAGAATAGCGCCCAGGCCCTGAGTTTAAGCCCTAGGACTGGCATGCACACATAGAAACATATTTTCTGGAGAATGAAAAACTAAGAATGGATAATTGATCATGGAAAGTATTTGATCCAATTGGATCCTCCACCTGTGTGTGTGTGTGTGCGTGTGTTTGTGTGTGTGTGTGTGTGTGTTTCTTCTGTCCATCTGAAATATTCATGTGTCCCTAGGACTCTTCACCCTATTGTTGACCCAAAAGAATGCTAAAGAGGAAAAAAGAAGAAAGAAATCCAAGCAGTTGATCGCTTAGGAGCTGCTTAATGTGGTTTATTAATTACTCAGCCTGCTCGCTCCTGCCCTTCCTCTATCCCTTGCTGTTATTTGTCTTCTTGCAGAGACACAGCACCTTCATTAAATCCCATCCGCCCTTGCCTCAGAGACGTCCCCTGGAAGATACCCCCTCTTTAGATGCATCGCCATTTATCATCACCCTTTGTTTGTGCTCTGTCAGCCAGTTTTCAATTTATTTTGAATTCCGTTTATGATTAAAATTTAATGAGATCCAATCAAGCGCTTTTCTCCATCAAGATGCCGGTGTCGTCTCATGGTGCCATCTATTGTAACGGCATGTAGGTTTCCAGCCTGGTGATGCTTTGCGGAACACAGGTGGTGTGTGTCTGTGCCCCTGAGTGTCAAGGTGAATTGGTATGAAACACTCCAGAAGCTTCTTGGGAGTTCTGTGGCTCCCCACCTCCTCCCTATCTTTCTCCCAAATAGCTGTGCCAATCAGTGCATTAGAGCCCCAGGCTCTGAGGTTGAACTGCTTGGATTTGAATCCTAGCGCTGCTTCTTACTGGTCTGTGACCTTGAGAAGGTGTCTTAGCCTCCCTGTGCCTCCATTTGCTTCCATTTGCCCTTCCATAAAATGGTACCAACAAGAGGGCCTATCAACTAGGGTCACAGTGAGTGATGAATTAGTTAATCAATACTTGAACAATATTTCTCACACAGAAATATTTCAGTAATTGTTAATAAGTAGAAAGGTAAGATTTCTTAAGTAGATACATTTCTTTAGGTTCATATTTGGATACATTAGCATAATTTTTATCAGCAGTTGGTAAACTATAGGCCTACCTAACACATGAGCTCTTTTTGAACTAGCCTATTTTTACAACTTTAAGGTTTCTTTAAAAGAAAGAAAAAGAAAAGAAAGGAAAAAGAAGAGCCAAGTGCTAGAATTCATGCCTATAATTCCTGCCACCCAGGAGGCAGATTGGACAATTGTGGTTTGAAGCCAGCTCAAGCAAAATGTGAGACTCCATCTCAACCAATAAGCTAGATGAAGTGTCTCACGTCTGTCATTCCAGTTACATGGGAGGCATAGGAGGTGTGAGGCCTGCTCTGGGCAAAAACTCAAGACCCTACCTGAAAAACAACTGAAGCAACAAAAGGGATGGAGGCAAGGCTCAATCAGTAGAGGACTGCTTAGCAAGTTCCAGGCCCTGAATTCAAAGCCCAGCACCGCCCCAAACAGAAGCAGAATATGAGACAGAGCATGTAAACAGTAAAGCACAAGCAATCTGTTATTTGGCCTTTGTAGGACATTTTCCAACACCTGACCTATATGGTTTAGTGGAAAGACTTAGGAGAGTATAGGCTACATTTGCCATCACCGATCACTTGTCGTCTGACTTTGGAAAACCTACTTAGACTCTCAGCCTTTGTAAAATAGTTAGGAACAAAATAGCACCTTTCACTCTACCTCTGACCTAGACTTAAGGACCAAATGAGATAATGGGAATTGCCTGTACCAGAAATGACTCCCATATTCACACATTGCTTAAATAGATACAGTCACCCTACATCAGATTCTTGTCTAGAAAGAGTTCCAAAGCCAAATCACTTATTATAATAATAATAATATCAATATCAACAACAAATAGTTTTTAGAGCTTGCTATGGGTCAAGCTCTACATTCAACATTTCATACCTTTTATTATCCATATAATATTCCTATGCCGCAAATATTGCTATTTTCTCCATTTTGCAGATGAGAAAAATGAGGCCCAGACAAGTTAAGTAATTTTGTCAAGATCACACATTAGCTATATAGCCAGCAGAGAAAGAATGCAAACCCAGGGAGTCTGAAAGCACTGCATGTGGGTAAGAATAGCGCTTACTTTCTCATGTTCTAGTAATAGATGGGAGCAAAACATGGGTATACAGTCTATTATGTGTGCTCTAAGAGAGACTTGCTTGCCACACAGGCCAGGACCAGGGTTGGGCCAGATGGTCTGACAAAGCAAAGTTGGCTTGGTGGAAGGCAAAGAAGCCTTTTGATGAACTGTAATCAGAAAGGTAGTATCAGAAGAGCAATAGTAACAAGGCAGACTGTGCTAGAGGAGGAAAAGGACTTCTGGGAAGAGACCTGGGCAGGAGTTGGAGGCAGCTGAAGGAGGTCGACTGAGCTGTGTACAGAAACACAAAGGAGAATTCTGTGAATGGGACACCAGCGTGCATTGTCACACAGATGTCAAGCTGCTGACTTCTGGTTAAGATGTTCTCTGCAAGGCTGCTATGGGTGGGTTAGGATAGTGAAAAAAGGGCTCAGGCCAGCGAAGATAAAAGGACGCCAGAGCTAGAAACTGTGGGGAGAGAGAAACTCAAAGAGGTAGGAGACAGACAACAGCTGAATCAGAGAGCTAGCTCTCCACCTCCAGCCCAAAGGGTGATGAGCTCCCAGTGAAGAGAAGCTGCTGCGGCCTCTGTAGTCGCATGGGAAGGAGTGAAGGCTCACTTTCAGCTGTGGCAGTCATTTGTGTGTCCCTGCAGCTGGCCTCTGTAGGTAACTCTGCCCACTGGTGTCTGCATCCTAAGGGACATGTTCACTTCCTCCTTAGGGGGGGGGGTGCGGGGGGAGGGGGAAAGGTGGGGATCTCACGGGTTCCTCATACTGGTTCTTAATCTTTGTAAGCATCCACATCAGTTGGTGGGGGGTTGGGGGGGATCCCTTTCCATTTCTAATTGATACAGCAATGTCCTTTGTACAAAGTTTAAAAGTATAAACTCTTCTGAAAAGTAAACCTCTCTCCTGCCCCCTTCCTGGTCATCCAGTTCCCTTCTGAAGGACATCTACCATTTCTTAATTTCTGAGAGAGGTCACAGAGATCTTACATCACTTTATATGCTGCTATCCCTCCCTCCCTCTCTCTCTTTCCCTCCCTTCCTTCCTCTCTTCCTTCCTTCCTTCCTTCTGTTTTTTGCAGTAATAGGATTTGAACTCAGGGTCTGCACTTGCTAAGCAAGCCATGCCCCTAGTCCCTTTTGCTTTAGGTTGTTTTTCAGATAAGGTCTTTCGGTTTTGCCTGGGCCGGCCTTGGACCTCTATCATCCTTCTGTCTTCACTGCCCAAGTATCTGGAATTATAGACCTGTACTACCACACCTGGTATAATTTCTAAACAGTAAATCTTGAAGTTATATCTACTTCAATTCACATAGCGCTTTCTCAGTCTTTTATTTTTTGAAACAGAGTTTTCATTGTTCATTGTCCAGATATATAACAGTTCTAAAAACTCAGAATGGGCTGCACGCCGGTGGCTCACGCCTATAATCCTAGCTACTCAGGAGGCTGAGATCTGGGGATCATGGTTCAAAGCCAGCCAGGGCAGGAAAGTCTGGGAGACTCTTATCTCCAGTAAACCACTAGAAAACCGGAAGTGGTGCTGTGGCTCAAGCGGTAGAGCGCTTGCCTTGAGCTGAAGAGTGCAGGGACAGCGCCCAAGCCCAGAGTTCAAGCCCCATGACTCACCAAAAAAACAAAACAAAACTCAGAATGTCTCTGGGTATAGGGGCTATCTCCAGCCTTTGCTACTTGTAAACATTACTGTGTGGCCTATCTCCATGAGTCTCTTCACATCAGACAATGTGCACATACGCTGTAGAGGAAATTCTTAGCAGTGAAGGAACATAAGCTCAGACTTCTCGTAGTTATTGCTGAGTTGTGGAGATGTCACTCTCCTTGGCACAGCAGGAGAGGACCTCCACGGAAGTCCTCATGGTCTCTGAAGTGTGCGGCCTGGTATCTTCACTGGGGACCTAAGAAGGTTGACTCTGGGCCAGCTCTCCTGGTTCTAGGCTTTCTGAGGCTCACACAAGTCCAGGATTGTCTCCATACAACAGCGACTGGGGCTCCAGGGCTTTTCTGTCCCCTCTGGAGTCAGGGCTTGAAAATGGGGCTCCTTTGCATCAATCCTGCCGCTGTGACAAAAGTCAGGGACTGTAGCACAGGCCACAATCACGTGAATAGCATCTGGAGTTGCCCTGGAAGAAACCAGAAAAATAGAGATGCCCAGTGATGAGTTTTCGGTTAAACGTTTCTATAGTATTTTAATAAAGACAGAACAGATAAGACTGCATCTCTGACAAAAATCCCACTAATGTGCCCCAATCCCTGATGTACACTGGTGCATCATTGTGTCTGTGCGTTCTGTGGCTGCCCTGTCGGGGTTGACCATTTCTACCAGTTCTGGCTGGGGCTGCAGGGCCGATGTCTGCGTCTTCCCTGCTCTCCCTGCGTAGAGCTTGCATTCTAGAGGCGAAGGCCCTAGTCCACCCTAAACATAGGCAGGATGGATCTAGAAATGGCTTAGGCCTACTTGGTGGTTTGACACTTTGTGGGTATTGAATAAACATTTAGGAAAAATAAGGATGAGAGGATGGGTGAAGGTCACTCATGTGGTGCTTTTTTTTTGGTGCTGGTACTAGGATTTGAACTCAGAGCCTTTCACTCTCACTCAGCTTTCTCACTCACAGCTGGCACTCTACCACTTGAGCCATGCCTCCAATCTGGCTTTTTGCTAGTTAATTAAGAGACTCGTGGATTTGTTTGCATGGGGTTGGGTTTGAACTGAGATCCTCAGACCTCAGCCTTCTGAATAACAGCGATTATAGGTATGAGCCACTAGCACCCAGATTATGAAGCATAATTTTAAGAATTCTGAGAAGAATTCTGAGACCATCAGATGTTCCCTGCTAGCCCCTGGGCGCCTGACATTCTGGGGGAAATGCTCCAGCTACACAGATCTGTTCTGCTCTGACCTAGATACCCATCATTTATCTTTATGAACACCTACTACTGTCAGTTATAGTTCTAAGCACTGGGATATATAGCATTCAGAAATCAGGCCTTTACTAGATTTATATCCTGGAAAAATAGAAGGGGCAATACACAAGGAATCTGTTAACTGTACTTCTAATGTCTATTTGAAAGGTCTTGGAGGATCTTGGAGGATGGTGATAATTGCTGAGGAGGTGAAGCAGTGAAGGGAGAGGGGAAACGGGAAGAGCATATACTTCTTAGAGGTAATAGCTGAAGCAAGACCTGAAGGAAGAAGGCAGGATTCCATACAGGGGGAAGAGGATTCTAAGGAGAGGAAGAAATAAGTACAAAGGACCTGAGGTAGGCATTTCTGTATATCTGTTTTCTCTCTTGAACTGTATCACAAGAGACTTAGAGGTAGCAATAGTGTTTTATTTATCTTTAGAAATAATTTTGATCCCTTTTCACTAGACAGCTTTTGGTACCTTTTGAATTTTGTATCACGTGTAGATATTTTAAAAGTAAAACAATTAAATTGAACGTATGTTCCAGAAGAGGTATGTGCATCGTGGAGTGGAACACATAGTAGGAATCAGTCATTATTCACTTTCTATGAAGTTAATATTGATAAGGGAAAATATCCTTAGGAGAGGATCAAAAAGGCTCAATAGCTACATGCATATGATCATATAAAATGATGTTTACTGAAATGAACTCCAAGAAATGAAAACAAGGTTATTATCTTACTCTTTGTGCTTATTTAATTTTAATTTTATTGTCAAGGTAATGTATATAGGGTTACAATTACATAAGGTAGCGAATACATTTCTTGTTGAACTTGTTACCCCCTCCCTCACTTTACACCATTGTTTTTTATTTCTGCAGCTTTTGCCTTGTGTGTAAGTTTATCTGATTTGGGGAGTGGAAGGGGAGACAGAAATGATGGGACAAAAGACGAACTCATTCAGCAATGAGACTCACTAGACACTATGTTGAAAATGAACTATGCAATTTGTGGGGGAAGAAGGTCAGGAGGGAAAAAACAGGAATATAATGAGGGAAGAGGTGATACTGTTCAACAAGAAATATACTCATTACCTGTACATCACCTTTACAAAAAGTAAAGTAAAATAAAAAATCTGGACAATACAAAATAAGTAGGTAAAACACAGTCCAGTTTGTTTTTGAGGTGATTACTAATCCTGAGCCATTCAAAGCCATGTACCAGTGGCTCATGCTTGTAATCCTACCTACTCAGAAGGCAGAGATCTGAGGACGATGGTTCAAAGCCAGTCTGAGCAGGAAAGACTGTGAGCCTCTTATCTCCAATAAACTGCCAAAAAGCCAGAAGTGGAGCTGTGGCTCAAGTAGTAGAGGGCTAGCCTTAAACAAAAGATCTGCTTATTGTCATCAGAGAGCCCATATGTTCCTTTTTAGGCCAACTTTAAGAACCCATAGGATGGGCCTCAAGTTTCATATGAGATGACCGTACTTGTCACTTTTCTTATTAGGTTCTGGGGAGCCCTTTAAAGATCCCTTAACAAGAGAAGTCAAATTTGTGAGTTGAGATTTTTCTTTTTCTATTGGTAGGAAATACTTTCCAAGGAAAATGGGAAGATTTCTACCTGAGCTCCTCAGTTTAGAGCACTGAGGCTGAATCACATGACAAACAATTATTGAAAGAATTGAGTCCTCGTGTTAGCTGGCTCACTGTCTGCCTCTCCTGGTCCTCCACACTTGGCCCTGGGCTCCTGCATGCAGGAGATTGCACAACACTCAGCCACCCCTGAGAAAACACTTTGGCTTCCTGACCAGCTGAAGAGCATTTTGTAGGGCATATCTAATTTCATAGCTGTAGACAAATCGTGAGGAAGAAAGGAAAACAATGGTGAACAGTTTTGAATAGCAAAGTCAAAATCTCTATTTTTTGGTAGGTTCTTAGTCATTAAAAGGCATTTCTTTTTGAGTTCTAACCAATTTAGGTGGTGAGTCTTTTTTCTGCAGAGCCAAGGGACAAAGGCAACACATAGCCTAGAAAAGAGACAGATGGGAAGGGAAAGACAGAAGGGCGAGGGTAAGCTAGTTAGGAAATAGAAGCTGAAGTTTTCTGTGGTGCCTGGAAACACGGTAAGGGTTGTTGGGCAGTAGGTGGGTGAGTGGAGTGTGAGAAGTGTTAGAGAGAGAGTGGTTAGGTTGCTTTTATAGGCAATGAATTCTTTTTTGTTCTGTTTTGCATCTTACTATGTTGTCCAGGCTGGTCTTGAATGCTCAAGTGATCCTCTTGCCTCATGCTCCCAAGTTGCTGGCTTTCTATAAGCAGTTAAGAATATCATATGGGGTGATACCATCATACCCAGCTTCCTATAAGCAGTTAAGAATATCATATGGGGGTGGGCCCAATTATACATTGTATACCTACTATGTGTGAGGCCATGGCTTCTATCCAGCACTGCAGGAAAAAGAAAAGAGATAGATGATGATGATGATGATAATAATAATAATAATAAATGCTGTCCCCATCCGGTTGAAGGTGATGTATTTCAAAATGTATGTGGTCTTGTTCCTATTGGATTGAGTACAGGGCATAAAAGAAAGTGAATTCATGCTCTTCAAAAGCTGTCTTAGAACAATAATTTATGTACTCTGTGACTGCAGGCACAGTAAGCCTTCAGTAAACGTTTGTGGTTGAAATGCTGCATGGATCCAAAGCAGGAATTTAAAAATCCACACACAATCCTTTTTCTCTCTAGTATTTGAAGTGTGCTATGTACAAAGGCCTTGCCTAGAGTAAACCTCTGGGATTTTTTTTAACTCTGGGCCTCATGCCTGATGTGCACACAATCTGGGATTTTTTTTTTCTCGAACTTTCTTGCTCTTTTGCTATGTCTGCTTAGTAGCCTTCTGCAAACCTCTCGTGTCCTTACCTCCTCTATCCTAACCAGCCCCAACTTCCCCTAGGATAGGGCATCATTTCAACCAGTTGAAGATAAAGGGAGAGAGGGAGGATTTCTTTCTCCTTCTGGGAGGTTCTATTCTCCCACATAAAAGCAATAGCGTGGACTGTGGGCTCTGCCCAGGGAGGTATGGGCAACTTCAGTGAGCTTTTGGTTGCAGCTACTTTTGATGCAGGCTTAGGGCTCAGAGGGAATGAAGTCCTTGAAGTGACCTAAAGTTGTTAAGTGGAAAAAATATCATTCTGACCTCTCTGCTTGTGTTTTAAACTTGTGTTTTCTTTATCTAAAAGGACTTCTTTTATTTCTTAATTAAGCAATAGCCACATGGAACAAAATTTCTAAAGTTCAAAAGGGAAAACTCTCCCTCCCACTTCTCTTCCCAGCCTAGTAGATCCTAGAGGAAAGCAGTGTGGCAGTATCTACGTGCCCTGCACATGATTTGCACATGTAGAAGCAGATATGCCCACAGCAGCCTACACACACATATGTGTATATGCATATGCACAAGGACACTCAACCCCCTCTTCACTTTGCTACACAAAACAGCAGAGGAGTGTACATATTGTTCTGCTCATTGCTTTTTTTTTTTTGACGCCTAACAATATGTCTTGGAGATCATTCCATTTCACGTAGTGAGATTTACTTCATCATGTATTCCAAACACACACAAAGCAACCCACATTATGATAATTTCTCTTTCCTCAAGACTTGGCAGTTGATTTTCATCCATTTTCCTCTTGCTGGTGAGTGACTTCTAGTCAGATTCTTTGAACTGCCTCCCAGATAAAAAAAATCTTAATAAGCATTAGTGCTTTTTGCCTGGAGGATAAGTAAACAACTTTATGTGATTGGGGCCTGCAAGCACAGTGGTGTTAATTTAAACCACATCCTGAATGAGGTCCCTTAAGGTCATAAAGTGGGGACTCCAAGCATTGATCTGTCTTCTGAGGCTAAGTTGTTTTTGGTGATTTTTTTTCTTGTTCCAGCAACTAGAATGAACCGAAGTATTCCTGTGGAGGTTGATGAATCAGAACCATACCCAAGTCAGTTGCTGAAACCAATCCCAGAATATTCCCTCAAAGAGGAATCGGAACCACCTGCTCCAAATGCAAAGAACACACCACCCACCAGCCTGCCTGCACCCCAAGCCCTGCACTATGTTTCAGGGGACTTTTCTCAGGCTCACCCCCCTCTGAAACTTACAAGCCACCAGTGGCCGGTGTCGCAGCAGGTCACCTGCCTGCGCACTAAAGTCCTGGAGGAGAGTGAAGACAGTTTCTTCAGAAGGCACCCAGACCCAGGCAGAGGTTTGTCCGTGGGCTCCTCTGCAGCCAGCCGGCCTGAGGCCGAGTCTGTGCTTGGAGCCCTTCCTGCAGAGCATCAGTTTTCGTTTATGGAAAAACATCATCGATGGCTGGGATCTCAGCTTTCAGCAGCTTCTCCTGACACTGGCCATGACTCAGAAAAATCAGACCAAAGTTTACCTAATGCTTTGGCGGACTCCTCGGGCCACAACCGAGGGATGGTGCCACGGCCTCAGCCCCACAGAAACCCAGCAGATCCAGATCTGCCCACGGCAGACACGGGGTATGATTCTCAGCCCCAGGATGTCTTGGGCATCAAAAATCTGGAGAGACCCCTGCCCCTCACGTCCACATGTTACCCCCAAGACCTCCCCGGTCCTCTGAGGTCCAGGGAGTTCCCTCCGTTTGAACCCCAGAGATATCTAGCACGTGCACAGATGCTGCTGCCCAACCCCTCCCCACAGGCTCCGTGGAACTATCAGTGCCACTGTCCCGGAAGACCGGATCACCAGTTGCCATGTAAGTGATGGTTACTGCCTCTGGACAATCTGGGATGGGTGACCGATGAAACAAACACCCCTCATCAGGGGACCAGCCATTATGTCAGAACACAGAGAGCAAGTTCTGTTCCTTACAGGGCTTTTTATGGGTGTCTGTATGTACAAGAGGCCTTTAAGAGAACACTTCTTTCTTAGCCCTAAGTCTGTCTTACTTGGGGGACAAAACTTTAAGGACAAAACAGATTCTGCTGTCTGGATTAGGTGAACAGAAACCTTTCAAGAGGCAAGGAGATAACCCAAATGGTATCAAGTCAATTTATTTGTTGCTCTAATTCGTGGGCTTCTGGGTTCTTCCTTCTCTTTATGCTCCTTCTCCATCTTAGACTTGGCAGAGAAAATGAGGCCATGGATGCCACTGCATGGTGAGTGCCCAATCACAGGACGGGTGTGGTGGCAGATTCCCATAAGTATGAATCACTGAGGACTGAACCTTGGTTAAGGTCAGAGCTGCATTTGTTTCTCAGTAATTCCCAAGTTAAAGGGGAATCATTTGTGAATTTAACACCATAAAGCACTTTTTATGATTGTACTAGCTGCATGTATATTTAGTTACCCTCCCCGCTCAGTTGAAATATGCCAAATGCTACATTATATCTCTTTAGAGAGATTTACTAAGTTGTTATTAACCCAATCTCTATTTTTGGACGTTTCAAACAATTTCCAGTTTCCTGATCCAATATGTAATGCTCATGACAAACATCATGCACATGGGTTTTATCTATGTTTTGAACTCCCTGGGTAAATATGCAGAAGTGCAAATATTTAGTCAAAGGTTCTGTGAGACTAAGTCCCCAGGAGTTACCTTTATCTCCTGGCAGGAGAAAGCATCAGTATGATGGACAAAACAGGCAGAATCAAGCCCCATCATGAAAGATGAAACAGGCATCAATACAATAATGACAGCGGGAGGGTCCCAGAAAAATCTTACTATAGGGAAAGTAGTCGTCCTGTTGAAATCTAGTCTTTAGAAATAAGCATAGCTCCACAGGAAGGCTCCCTTAAGAGAAAGACACTCACAGCTGAAAATATTTTCCGCCATTAATACTTCAGGACCTGCTTTCTTTCTTTTAGCAGCTCACCTTCCCCTTGCCCTCTAATCATGGCCTCTATGAAGGGTTGGAAGGGGGCTGTTTAGGATCCTAGGACAGGTGATAAAAGACAGACAGGAGAGAACTTGGATAAGAGATGGGAATAATTTGCAGAAGATGTACGAACAGCCAAGATACATATGAAACCAAGCTCAACATCACTAGTTCAAGAAATGCACAAAACTTAAAGATACATTTCCCATAATTAGGGGTGCAAAAATAAAGACCTCAGACAATACTTGATATTGATGGAGTATTAGAACCACAAACACTTCTCATACATTGTGTGTGTGTGAAGGACGGGGAGGGGGGTGCTGGTACTGGGGATTGAACTCAGGACCTCAGTCTCTTGCTCAGCTTTATTTGCTCAAGGCTGGCACTCTATTACTTAAGTTGAGTTGTATCTCTATTTCCAGCTTTTAGTGGTTATTGGAGATAAGAGTCTCTGCAATTTGTCCACTAAAGCTGGCTTTGAATCTTGATCCTTAACCCTCAGCCTCCAGAGTAGTGAGGATACATTGTTGGCAGGAGAGTGAATCAGTACTTTCTGGAAGGCAATTTTAACTATTTATCAAAATTTTATGTGGACTCCCTCTCTGGCCAGCAGTCTTGCCTATAATCTATCCTACAGAAATATTGAACCCATAAAAGACATGAATAAGAATGTTTACTAAAGCATTGTTATAGTAAAGTAAAAGCACAAACAACTACACTGCTCATCAGTAAAGGAGATAGTAAGTGTAGATGGTCCCTTAGGACTTAGTATAAAATCAATAGGCATTCAATGGAATTTGAGCCCAAGCCCCCAGTCAGCCTTAGAGGATCAGGATGGTAAGCAATCCACACCCTCTAGCGCACTGTTGCTAAGGTAATGATGTTGCATAGGTCAGGTGCATTAAATGCATTTTCCACTTCATATTTTCAATCGCAGTAGGCTTTATTGTGATGTAGCCCCATTGTAAGCTGAGAAACACTCATAATTTATGACTTATTCATACAATTGTATGCTAGGTCCCTGTTGCATGCCATAAAATAGTATATACATTCTGACATAAAAAGGATTAAGTTGAAAAGCAAGATGTAGTGGTGTCATACATGTTGTAAACAAAAAGCAAAAACAAATATACCAAAAAACCCCTATATACTGAGCTGGGCACTATAGCTCAGGCCTGTAATCCTAGGTGCTTAAGAGGTAGAGATCAGAAGGATTGAGCTTGGAGGCCAGTCTGGCTAAAAAGTTTTCAAGAATTCACTCAGTAAAACTCTCAGGGAAGTGTCATGTATTTTGCATCCCTGCTTCATGGGAATCATAAGTAGAATTGTGGTCCAGGACAGCCAAGGTAAAATGTGAGACCCTATTAGAAAAATAAAAGCAGGACTAGAGAGATATGGCTCCAATTGTAGAGTACTTTATGCAAGCACCAAGTTTTCAGTTCAAACCCCAATTCTGCCAAATAAATAAAAAAAGGAAAGAAGGAAGGAAGGAAGAAATTTAAAAAGAAAAAAAATCCAGGTGATGGGTAGCTTGTGCCTTCAAATCCTAGATACTGAGAGAAGTCTGAAGTCTGGAGGACTGCAGTCTGAAGCCAGGCTGGGCAGAAAGTATTTGGGACTCCATCTCCAATTAACCAGCAAAAAGTCAAGCAGGAGGCATGGTGGTTCAAGTGGGATAGCACCAGCCCTGAGTAAATAAGCAAATGAGCTCATTGAACATGAAGCCCTGAATTCAAGATTTGGGACCTTAAAATGCTGTGTGCTTATGTATACCTTAAAAAGTTTAGAAGGGTCGCACCAAATGTTAGCAATGATGAGGGCTGAAAGAAGGAATTACAAATTCCCTCTAACTATACTTCTGTTAAATTTTTATAGCAAACATTAATTAGTTCTATGCTTCAAAAAAAAAAAGTTGAAAAGAAAACAAGAACACATACAAGGTGAGATTGCCCTCATTCACCTTGCGTGTGCCTTAAGCCTGGCTTCCAAGGGCACTTTATATCATCGCTGGGAAGATGTCAAGGTGGCCCAGCACTTACAGCTTTTTGTAGGGCACTGAAATTCCAGAATATTAATGAGACACCTAGAAGCAAGGACTCTTAGGAAGGCTGTTCTCAGGACGAAATAAGGTAATGTATTAAAGGTACTCGGAAAAAGGCTGGATGCTAGTAAGCCTTCGATACTTTTAGTTATTATTGTTATTTTTAAATGGATCCTGCAGAGTGGGTGTCGATTTCCAGCTCCCTCTTGCTGGCACAGATTTTAAGCATTCAGGGCAGGTGTTCAAATGCTTAGTTTCATGTCAGGGCTATAACTGCACTTAATTGCCAACAAAACCACTTCAAAAGAGCTGTTCACCTGAGGGATGCTTGTGCAGTTGGAAACCATGGCTACGTGATTCTATTTGGCCTTAGAAGAGTATTACTTCTTTGCCAGTTAACGAATATATAAATAAAAAATGATCACCATGCAAATGGCATATGTTAGCTTCTTGAAAGTTAAAGCACAAACGGTTACTGGTCATCCTTTTCGTGGAAAAAAAAAAAAACCCCTGATGGTTTTCAAAGTAGATGAAAATGAGAAATGGAATAGGCTCCTTACACCACGCCTGGAAAGAAATCTGCCTCTGTGGCTTCAGAACTCTCCCAATGAAGGTCACTAGAACAGAGTTCATGGCTGTGCAATCAAATGAAGCCCCCAATGCAAATATCCTGGGTAAAAAGAAGAAAGGAAGTCTAGTGAGCAGCTATTGTATTGTAAAATTATGTTCTCTCTATTAAGGAGAAGGAATAAAAAAGAAAGAAAGAAAGAAAGTGGTGGGTACAGACCTACAATTGCTCCTACAGTCTAAAAAGAACCAGAAAAAAGAAGTGACCATTTGCATGCTGGAATGCATATACAATTGAAGTAAAGAGGAAATAAACCAGATGCAAATAGGAGTAGGAGATGAGGACAGAAGATGTGTGGCTGGAGCCACAGCTGCTTACAGCTGTCAAGTGCCTGTAAACAGTTTATGTTGGCCATTTTGCTTCCTGGCTAACCTGATTGTGTTTTCTCGTGCTGTTTTTCTGACAACTTAAAAATCAGATTTTATTTTCTCTCTCATCGCTTTTTTTAATACCATTCTTAATAAGGAAGAAAAATGTTGAAGGTTTTCACCAGTAAATGGGAAACCTCATTTAGGATTTGGTTTACAAATTCCAAGTGGTAAAAGCCCAGTAACATGAAGACAGTGCATGTAGGCCAAGAGTATCATAGGACCAACAAATCACAAGCAGCACCAGGCACTTACTTAGGATTGCACCAGACATCCATTTTTGTTGTGTGAACTGAGGAGTTATGCTAAGGAATCCTTTGTCTATCACTTCACCCACCTTCCGTCTCCTGTGGCAGGGGGAGGTTTTAAGCAGTGATTCTCAGGGAAGTGGCTGCCAACTTCTTTGCTTTCCCTTCTTAAGACACTAACTAGTGTGGGCTTGTGTTTAAATACAGACACCCACAGACACACAGGTTTTTCTGTCTTCCTCGTTCCATTTATTTTGAGCTGCCCAAGGAAACTGTATCCTCTTTATCTTTGTTCACCAAGTGCTAAGTAATAAAGGTTCTAGGAGGATTTATTGAATAAATAAAAAGAAAGCTGTTCTTTCCTTCCTGGGGAAAGGAAGAAAATTCTTAGCAATGGGAAGAGTCTTTGTGCTGTCTTGCCTTGGGAAAGCTATCGTTTAACTGTCTAGTAGAGAAGGAAAGATGAGAGGAAAATGAATTTAGAATCAGAACATGTCTGTTCATTTATCAATTTACTCAGAAATATTTGTGAGTTCTATGCTAGGCACTGTGTGTAAGTGATGAATTCAGCATTTATGGTTGTAGAGCTTACAGTCTATTGAGACAAGAAAGAGATAGAAACTGGCTCATGATAACCAGGTGCCCGTGGCTCACGCCTATAATCTGAGCTACTCAGGAGACTGAGATCTGAGGACTGCAGTTCTCAATCAGCCTGGGCAGGAAGTCTGTGAAACTTTTATGTCCAATTAACCACCAGAAAACTGGCAGAGTGCTAGCCTTGAGCAAAAGAGATCAGCACCCAGGCCCTGAGTTCAAGGTCCATGACCAATTACCCCCCCCCCCAAAGAAATTACACATGCTGTAATGGAAATACTTGGGTCTTAGAATGATCATCAATAGGCAAGCTGGCCAAGAAGGCCTCTTTACATATTGTTGAGCTGAACCTAAAGGATGAGCCAATCAAGGGAGCAAGATGGCAGACAATGTTAAGGTATCAAAAGCAAGACAGTAGGGCAGAGTCAGATGATATGCCAGAAGATGAAGGATGCAAGGGCCATGTTGAACAATTTGCATTTCATTCCAGTAAGACCATTTTAAGAAAACAAGAGAGGGGCTGGGAAGGTGGCTCATTGGTAGAGTGCTTACCTCACATGCATGAAGCCCTGGGATCAATTCCTCAGCACCACATAAGCAGAAAACGGCTAAAGTGGTAGAGCACTAGCCTTGAGCTGAAGAGCTGAGGGACAGCACCCAGGCCCAGAGTTCAGGCCCCATTACTGGCAAAACAAAAACAAAAACAAGCAAACAAAAAAAAAAGAGAATCAAACTCTATCATCCTCATTGAGGAACTTAAAACATCACCTGTCAGGTAACAAGGGACCAGTAAATGTTACCATTATTAGACACAGTATCAATTTAAACAATCAGGGCTTGCTCACGATAGTGCAACACAATGATTAAAACTTGAGCAATAAAAATATAGTCATTCATCTAATAAGCATACTTTTTAATCAAGCAACTTTCCCAATACAATAGCCAAATTTCCATGTAAAACCAGTTGTTTCATTCATAAATGGGAGAGCTCATGGTTTGGTTGAATCTCTGATATTAAGTATTTCTTTGTTTGAAACAACGAAAGGACATCATAGAAGACTTTGTTGCCAGGTCCTAATTTTAAAAATCAATGAAGCAGATCATTTTCATCTGCCAATATAAACTGGTATAACTTTTTTGTACCACAGTTGGCCATTTTAGAAATGAAAGTTACAGCTAATCAAACACTTAGCCCACATGCCTTAGTGATTTTAATGGCATGATTTGTTGCTATGAGACAAAAACATGTTGTGCGGGAAATAATCTGTTGGAAATCATATGACCTTGATTCAAAGGCTTTTGATTAACAGCACTAACATCCGCTTTCTGGAAAAGAAACAAACCTTATGATTAGACCTTGGTAGTCCTTTTAAAGCAAATAAAATGTTATTAGTCACTCAAAATGGATATGGAAGCAGAAATGGCTCCAAAGATTAAAAACTCCACTTGAGTTCACTTGGAATCCCACTCTTGGGAAAGCTTTCAGGGCTACTGGCAGTTTCTCTTCTTGGACATTGCCTTCTTCCTGCTTTTGGAGAAAGATACTGACAAAAAAGAAAGAAAGAAAGAAAAGGAAGAAAGAAAGAAGTGAGAAAGAGAAAGAGGGAGAGAGGAAGAGAAAGAGGGAAGTTAGGAAGGAAGGAAGGAAAAAATGAAAGACACGAAGGAAGGAAGGAAGAAAGAACAAAGGAAGGAACGAGGGAAAGGATAGCAAGTGAGACGTAGACAGTCTAGGAGACCTGAAACCTAACAAGCATACTATGTCATTGGAAATGGCTTCTGCTCTGCATATAAGTCAGCTTTGTAGCCACTCAGACTTCATTCATTTTGCCAGTGTGACCATAATATAGTTGATGACATCATGGCAAACAGATATGGTCCCTACTTTTGCAGAGCTTACATTCTACTATGGAAAGTGGACAAGAAGCTGAAACCTAAATTACACCCTAAGAGTAACATAGAAAATAAAAAGATAATGAGAGAACATGGCTGGGTGAAGAGGTAGGATTCTTTGAACAAGTGATTAGAAATTGGTCTGTTAGTATGTAGGGCAAAAACATTCCGAGAAGATGGTAAACTAGGGTCCTAGAGGTGAGGACCAGATGTTCAAATGAACCTAAGGCTTGGTGAGCCACCTTGTGTGTCCTAGGAGATGAGATCAAGGGGAGGGACCTTGCTCCTACAAGATGGAGTTGTAGCTAGTGTGGCCCACTCATGAAAGACTGAACTGGTAACAGGGCAGGCCTCTTATCTGGTGATTGATATAGTGGCACTCTAGCTATCCGGACTGGTCCTATTGCATGAACCTCCCACTGACAGTCTGTCTCCTGCCAGGCTCACCAATTTTAGAGCTACCCTGCAAGTCCTGGTTTCCTTGACAACCTACTTGGCTATATCCCAGCACCTCTGGGATAAGCCTGGGCAAATCTCTCTCTTCCTCCCTCTCCTTAAACTCCTCCCACTTGCCACAACCCAGGCCTAAGCAATAACATGCCAGGTCAGAGCCAGGAGACAACTTGGATTAGAAGGACAGGGTTACTTTTGTCAGAAAAAGCCTGGCAAGGAAGGACTCAGCTGATGTCAGGGTCAAAAGAGACAATAGGCTGACTTCAGGGAATAGGCATGAGAGATTGGCTGAGGCTTATTGCTAGGGCCATCCAACTGAGTTTCCCTGTGTGCATAGTGTGGGCACCTGAGACCACGACACCAGTGAGCATGTGTATTATTAGTCTTCGGTTCTACACTGGAAGATGTCGTTCCTCTGAATTTTCCTTTCAAAGTCACACTCTTAGTCACATTTTCACCATCCCCATCTGTTTCCTATCCACTCTATCTATTGTTTTCTTGCTTCCTTTTTTCTTTATTTCATGGTGCATCTCTGCATGAGTCCTATTTACATAGCCTACTTCCAGGCAGTCTTGAAAGAATGAAGAATACAAAAACAAAAAACAAACCCACAACCACATCAAAAAAAGAACCCCAAAGCTCTTTCTTATCCTTATCCCTGGATTATCGTACCTCTCACCTAGGTATAGGTGGCAGTGCTTGGCCTCACAGGGAAAGGCTTAAGGTCCATTGTGTAGGTCCATGCAGTTGGCTATCTCCGGTCTCCTTTGGGCCTAGGTAAGTTCCTCTGGGCCCTCCTCTCACCTGTATCATGCTCTCTGTGTTCCTCCTCTGAACTTCTCTTCAGTTCTCTCACCTGAACAGTCAAGGTGCCCTTGTTACCTTGTGACCCTGCTCCTCCCAGGCCTGGCTGGGGCCAACTCACTCCCAGGTTACAGATTCACATCAGTCCTTGCCAGCCTTGGCTTTACTCCAATTCCTACCTTCTTCAAATTGCCATGATTCCAAGTACACATAGGCTTTAGCAAGACACCAGGGAAGTTCAGAGTGTTGCCAACTGGTTGGATATTTCACGGTTGGATTATCCTAAGTATCCTATTAAAACAGGGGGCTGAATATGGTGGTTCATGCTTGTAATCCTAGCTACTCAGAAAAGGAGATGGAGAAGATAGTTTAAGGCCAATTTGGACCAAAAAATAGTAAGTCCCCCACCTTAATAACAACAAAATACAGGCATGGTGGTACAAGCCTGTGATCCTAGATGCTTGGAAGATATAAATAGGAGGACTGTGGTCCAGGTTGGCCCAGGCAAAGAAAAAAGCAATCTAATTACAGCTAGGACACCAATGACTGAGGCCTATAATCCTAGCTACTCAATAGGCTGAGTAGTTCAAAGCCAGTCCACACAGGAAAATCTGTGAGATTAACCACAAAAAGCCAGAAGTAGAGCTGTGGCTCAAGTGGTAGGCTTGAGCATAAAAGCTCAGGGACAGCACCCAGGCCTAGAGTTCAAGCCCCAAGACTAGCAAAAAAAAAAAGCAATACATATTATGTATAATATAATAAATATAATAGATATAATATTATGTAGAATGTATATGTTTATAAGTATATATATATATATATATAAAACTAACAGAGTGCTCCAAATTGTAGAGTACTAAGATGAAGCTCTCACTTCAAACTCTAATACCACAAAACACCCTTGAGCTGAAGAGCTGAGGGACAGCACCCAGGCCCAGAGTTCAGGCCCCACGACCGGACCCCCCCAAAAAAATCAAGTTTTTGAAAGCTTTTTGACATTTCTAATTAGAATACCAAGCTCATTCTTTCTGCGGCTTTTGTTTAGAAAACAAAGTGAGTCAGTTTCATGCACACTAGTAGTACAGCACATATCATGAAGTCGCTCAGTTTCATGCACACTAGTAGTACAGCACATATCATGAAGTTGCCTTGATTACCATCAAGACAAAAATTTCACTGAGCTTACTACTTCTCCTTTCACACAAACGAGCTGGAATCCATCGTCCCTGTTCTCCTTGTTGTCTTTACCTACAGATGGCCACCACTACCCTCAGGCAGCCTACCAGCAGGTGATCCAGCCAGTTGTGCCTGGGCAGCCCCTACCTGGAGCAATTGTGAGGGGCTTGCACCCTGTGCAGAAGGTCATCCTCAATTATCCCAACCTCCAGGACGATGAAGAGAGGCCTGCACAAAGAGACTGCTCCCTTCCAAGACTCCCAAGGTATCAGTAAGTGTGACTTCACACAATTCTGAGAAAGAATTATGCAGTGCCACTAAGGTATATTAAAATTCCCTAAAGGTTTGCTTCCTAGGTCAGTGGCAGTCACCCTGTGGAATACCCAGCATAAATGTTTCAGCTCAGATGAAATGGAAGATGGCTGACAAGGATCTGTTTATTAAGTCTGACATAACTAGTCAAATTGTTTTCAAAGAAAAGTTCTCAAAATGTTCTCTAAGTTACATCCCCTTTTACTCCAAAAATAGATTTTGACTATGACCAATTCCCAATTTTAGTGTATTTTTCATATTCCAAATTTGCATTCTTGTTCAAACCTATTTCTTCCTTTAATTCCCAACGGAACTTAAAAATAAGCTGGTTTTTTTTTTTAACTAAAAACATTCACACATGGTGGGTGTCTATCCTTGAAAAGTATTTCTGGTTTTTTGTGACATTAGCTATCTAATACTATGTATTATCTGTAATATCTGGAGCTGTGTGCATTTATTCAGCTCACGGTTCTGTTTAGTCTCTGGTGAGACCCGTTGGCTGTATGGCATTATGGTGGGTGGAATCACAGTGCGAGTGAGAGAGAGGAAAGACTGTGTAGCAAGCCACAGAAAAAACCAAGGAGGAGCTAGGCTTGCTTTTGCATTTTATATTTATTTCTGTTTTGCTATGTTGCCCTGGCTGGTCTTGAACTCACAATTCTCCTGATTCAGGAGGATTATAGCCATGTACATCTTATCCAGTTTTTTAGACTTGTTCTTTTTTTCTGGCAGAAAACTTCCTTTAGTTATAATTAGAATCACCTTTCATGAAGACTGTGGAAACTTGTTCTTTTTAAAAAATATATTAGTTTGTACATATTAGTTTCACAAGGGGGAAGTTTCACACATACATATACTATATCTTGATCAACCCTGTCCTCTATATCATTCTCCCTTATACCCCTCTTCACTTCTTAGAAACAATTTTCAACAGGTTTCGTTGCTCTGTCATAATACATGCGAACAACTTTCAACCTATTCATCCTCATTCACCTTTATTCTTTTTTTTTTTTAGCCCAACCCTTTCCTGTTGGTGCTTCCCCCAACCGAGCCTGTTTGACTTTCTGGTCATTCTTTTTTCAATTGTGTATTTATTACACCAAAGGATTTCACCACAGCATTCTAGCCATGCATATATTTTACTCAAGACTAACCCTCTCTATTGCCTTTGCCTCCTCAACAGCATTTAGTCTTGCTCTTTTATAACAACTTTCTCATCTGAGTCAACTAGAGTCCCATGAGAGTCCTTACCAGGACAGCACTCTCCATGAACTCCTCAAAGGTTCCACAGCACTTCCCATCACAATACTACAGACCCAACAGAGCAACCTTTAGGGAATGGGCCCAAAGTATACCCCTCAGGCATGTTTGCCTTACTGCCCTCTTTTGACACATTCAAGTTTTCTTTTCTCTTAATTTACGGGCCTAAAATACACAGGACTCATGTAAATGGGTCTTTCTAAGTAATGACAAAATTGGAAAGAAAGTAGATGAATTATTTACTCTTGCTCAAGTACAACTTTCATATGCCATGCAAAACTATATTCTGTCCTTATAAAACAGAATGAAATACACAAAGATCCAATTAAAGTGGATTTTTCAGAAATATAGAAATTGTCAATTAGCTAAAAATTTTATTTTTTAAAAAAGGCCATTTTATCAACAATGACAAATAAGGGGCATGCCTGATCTCCCATTTATGGAAAATCCGCCAACTCTTTTTTTTTCTTTCTACACAGAACCCTCATTTTCTAGAAGGAAAACACAGTCTAAATAGTGGGATTAAGTAAAATGTGAATTTTTAACAGGATAATGACTCTTGTGGAAAAAAATACTAAAATTCTAAGAAAACAATAAAACAAGAATTTTTATGAAATAAGTCTGGTGTTACAGGAATCAATGTTTTAAATGAGCTTTTATTTTGAAATAATTTAATATTTACAGAAGAATTAGTACAGAACAATTGCTTTTTGTTAACATTAATTTAAGCCTGTTGTGGTATCCTTGATTTGTTTTATCATTTTAGGATAATGAAAACTGAGTTGGGGTAAAGAAGTAAATTTGGAACAGAACCTAAAAACAGAAAGTTTACCTCACCATCATTTCCATAATATTTTACAAAAATTAGGCCTAGACCCACAGGTTTGTAATCAAAACATGAAAAATTTTTATAATACAAACTAATTTCAAGCTGGGAGCCGGTGGCTCATGCCTATAATCCTAGCTACTTAGGAGGCTGAGATCTGGGGATCATGGTTCAAAGCCAGCCCAGGCTGGAAAAGTCTGTGAGATTCTTATCTCCAATAAATCCCTCAGAAAACCAGAAGTGGCACTGTGGCTCTAGTGGTAGAGCACTAGCCTTGAGCTGAAGAGCTGAGGGATAGCGCCCAGGCCCAGAGTTCAAGCCTCAAGACCAACAACAACAAAAATAATAATTTCAAACATACAACACACATTTTTGTTCCTACTACCCCAATTTCATGTTCACCTATTGTCACATTTACTTCTGTTAAGAAAAAAATAGATACAGTTTTAGCCTCTTTACCATGTAGGAGCGTCACAGAACACAGTTTTAGCTATTTTAAACAGAAAAGATTTCAAATAGGGAATTGGATGTTTACAGAATTGTGAAGAAACTGCAGAAGCTAACTTGTGGCTGGGCTTCAGGGAATAATCTGGGAGCATCCCCACAGAATAGGACCCCTGGAGGAGCTTGCTTCCTCTGGCACTCAGGAATGTGAGAATCAAAAGGCCCGACCCCACTTGCAGTGGTTGATGCAGCTGGTAGATCCATTCTGTGCCTGCCTGATCTGCTGGCAAAAGGCAGCTGTCCATCCCTGCCCTTGACATATGGGAAGCTAGTCATGGGACACTGAGGGGCTTCTGAGGAAAGGTCAACACCTCGTGACTACTTGCCAGTAGAAATCACAGACATGGAAGGAACTGGATCTCCATTTCCTTCTGCCTTCCAGAGCTACATGAGTCCGTCTGATTATTCACCCCAGCAAAATGCTCCTGGGACTATCTGGCAAACAAAATGCTTACAAAGATGCCATGCCATATTATTCCTTATAACAGTGTAGTAAAAGCAGCCTTAAAGGTTCTTCAAATAAGATCTTCATTCATATATTAACAACATAAACCCTTTTAAAACTTGCATGTTTTTAAAATCTTTTGCTGCATAATTCAATACCTATAATGAGTCAAAAGCCATGTCTTTTTAATTGGGATACATGCCTTTTACACCAAGTTCCTTTGTCACCCATCATTACCCTTTTGTTTGGTGGATGGCATTGTCTGCTCTGTACATGGGACTTACTTTCCCAATCAGACAGTCTTTAAACAGAGAAATCAAATCCTGTTTCCCTTTCAACCCCTAGCACAGGTCTTACATATGGCAACCAGCTGAAGTACGTATTGATGGAAACACTACCCAGCTCTTTTCTTCTCTGTCTCAGATAAGAAATAGAGGTAGACGGGGGAGAGAGAGTACACTGATCTCTTTCTAGTTCTTAAAGACTTTCTGTCCTTCCAGGTTTGCCTTTGTAAAAAAAAAAAAAAAAAGCTAAATAAAAATTGACTATAGATGCATTCCTTCGCAGGGACCAGTTCTATCACTTGGCACCCAGTGGAACTGAAGCTCCTCAGGAGTCCTTGGCATGTCCTGTAGAGCTGAGACCCAGCGATCCACTGGCTCCTTCCCCAGTTGCTGTGCCTAGACCCCCTAGTCACCCTCCAATCAGAGGAACTCTGAAAACAAGCAATTTGCCAGAAGAATTACGTAAGTTGTTCACAATGTGGTCTCCTCCTTCTTGTCAGGTCTGTGCTTTGAGAAGATTTCTTGGTCACTCTTCAATAATCTCAGATATTCCTAGTATACTCAGTGAAATAAATTTTATTGATTTTTTTGCTTATTGCTGGAAAAGTAACCAGCATTTCATGTGAATGTTTTTAGTGATTCTGACACCACAAGTAATGCTCACAAACTGCTTACCAGGAGCTTTTCCTCAACACATAATCCAACAACAAATAACCTCAACACTTTTTCCTCTTTTAAATGATGCTCTTGAGCAGACTTGTCCCTGGGTAAATTGATTGGATGTCCATGTGGCATTGGACAGAGACCTAGTGTTGCACCATAAATTAAGCAGCAGCCATCAACGAGGTCATTTCCTGTAGGAATGAACAATCTTGTTTGGAAAAAAAAATGGTCTCACATTCTCCACACTGTTTCACAACCAAATGCAAACTAAGCCTTTTATTTAAAGAAACATTGGACTAAGTATCAGGTGACGATTCTTTTTCCACATTTTGCTGCCAGAACCAGAAATGTTGAAATATCACCAAAATGTTCTCAGAGTAAGGTCAGTCAGAATAGTTCCCAAAATCTTAAGACAGCCATTACTTGTGAAATTATTGCCTGTTGTGCTTGCTAGAGAGGCTAAGGTAATTCTAATATGCTCTTTCCAATTCTGGGAGAGTGAACTAAGCTTGAAGCCTTTTACATTCGCTAATTTCCTTTGGGGGATCTGCATTCTTCAATCATTTACAACTCTGAAACATTTCTATGAAAATGATACATTGTTGTTTTCATTCAAAAAAAGTTCATTTCTGGAAGTCTTACAGTTTTACTCATTTTTAATTTTGAGCATTTTTGGAGGGAACAGATTCTGCCGTGCATGGGCTATAGTTCCAATGTCAGCATATAAATTACATCTATTTTATAATCTAGAAAGTGAGTCCTAAAATTGCTTTCATAGAAACTGAGTGCATACTAGGTATGAAGGAGACAATGAATCAACATGGCTGGCTGTTGAAATGGGTTTATATGACCGTTATGCATACTACCATCTGAGAGACGTGTTTCAAAAAAAAGTGAGAGTCTATGCACAAAAGAGTATATACAGGTTCACATTTTTCTCTCAAGCCCCCTCTTCGACACTCTTGGCCCAAAGTAGGAGAAGAATTCTTAGACTTACAGTTCATTCCAAACTAAAAGGCAAACAGGAATTACTCATCTCTCAAATTGAAAGGCTAGTCAGGTAATTACCCCAAGCCTGAGAAACCATGGGTTCTCATCCTGGCTGGGGTAAACTTGTCTGAGTAATACTGTCTGCTGCTTCCTGAGAGAAAGAGAAAGCCTGTGATGTTAGACTGCCCTGAAGCAATGTCTCTCCTTCAACCTGCTGAAGGTTTACTAACATTTCTGAGCTGTATATTAGTCAGTTCTAGCTTCCTGGCTTTTCTCCAAAAGTGAGTTGATGGGTTGAGAGGGAAGAGATGGCAAGGAAATACTTTCTCACTTTCCCCCAACTTGCTTCACTTGCTGGTGTAAGGCTGGTTGGTGAGATCAAAAGAGGACACTGCTGGCTGTCCCCCTTAGCAAGCTTTAGCTTCTTGGCCTGCTGTGTTTTCTTTGGGGCACAGTGCCAAGAATCTCTAGGAAATCAGGCAGTGGCTTCAGCTTAAGGACCCATGGGTTCTGGGAGGTAGATCGCTGTTTTTTTTGTTTTTCTTTATTGCCTCATGTGATTTTTCAGAAGATCTCTTTGAGACTCAGCTCTCCATTGCTCTCCACTCTCCCTTCAACTTCCCTTCACCCTGATCAGCATGTATGCCCCAGACAGGTGCTGCTGCAAACATAAACCCTTAGACCACCCTCAGTCCCAGGTTTTCCTATTATTCTAAAAGAAAAAAGACATTGTAGACAGTTTGGAAGTGTACTACAGAAAAAGATAATCTGACTAGCTTCTAACAAATATGAAACATTTCTTCTAGGGAAAGTCTTTATCACTTATTCTATGGACACCGCCATGGAAGTGGTGAAATTTGTGAACTTTTTGCTGGTAAATGGCTTCCAAACTGCAGTAAGTATTTTATCCAAAGAGAAAATTGAAGTGTCAAAGTGAGGACAATCAGGAAAACAAAAGAAAATGTATGAATAGTTGTTGGTGTTTTAGATATATAAGTTCGGCAGCTTTTTTTTTTTTCTGGTCATGGAGCCTGAACTTTGGACCTAGGTGCTGTCCCTCAGCTTTTCAGCTCAAGGCTAGCGCTCTACCACTTGAGCTATATCACCATTTCCAGCTTTTTTTGCTTATGTGGTGCTGAGGAATCGAACCCAGGGCCTCATGCATGCAAGGCAAGCACTCTACCACTGAGCCACCTTCCCAGCCCAGTTGTTGGTGTTTTAAACATTTTTATTTATGTGGTTTTCAAAATCAATGCTCGCTGATTTAGTTTCTAGATTTTTAAACTATCCAGTCTCTGGTGCTTTCACCTATATGCTTCTTGAATGATCCAGAATTGCCTCCAAACAGCAAGGATGGTACCAATGCTTCCCCATGTATGTAGCTGGTCCTGATGAAGGAAAGGCCAACTTCTGGCTGTGCTTTGTCCCTTTGTCCCTTTGCTAGTCATGCTCACTTTGGTGTGGGATTCACTATGGTCATTTGCTTACCAAGCAAGGTTATTCCTGAGTACAAGATTCTACAAAAGTAGAATTCTGGCAACCTGGGTCCCTTGCTGTACACAGCGGCTCTTCCATACCTGATGTAGCAGCAAAGCTTCTGGACAGGGAGGACATGGCTGGGCTTTTGGCTGCTCTAGTCTAGTTTTAGGGGAGACAGACCTAATCCAGCCCTGCTCCAATTTTGGCCTGAAGAATTTCAAGTACTTCCTATCCTCTGCCATAGCCTGAAACAGTACAGCTCAAAGCTATGCACGTTTTTTTCTTATGATAAATAAGTACCTCAGGATGCTACTTAGGGAACTGGCTTTCTTCACTGAGATAATTTCTTTTCCCTCCAGAGGCATCTCATAGGTATTTAGTGACAGTGGTTAAAAACAAAAACAAGTGGTGGAAGAATAAGGATGCTGAACAGTAAAGAGGGATACTTAAAAATCAAAGGCTAGAGAGGTTACTTAGCATTTTTAACAGCTTTTATTTGAAATATTTTATTCCATGATTATTTTTTTCATTAGGAGTACTTAAAAGCTAAAAAAAAACATGTCCACAATTTATACAATCCAACTTCACAATTATGTAGATTTCAACATTTCATGTTCTCATCTAGAATAAGAAAGCACTATGGAAACTGTGACCTAAAAAATCAAATTACAAGATGTAAAGTCAACACTGCAGAAGAGATCTTACATTTCATCTTTTCCAAGATACTGATTGCCCCTGGAGAACACCTAGGTTTTCCTTTGTTTTTTTTTCTTTCTTTTCTTTTCTTGTCATTCTTTTTTTTCTTTTCTTTCTCTCTTTTTTTTTGGGGGGGGGGGTGGTTACCAGAGGTTTGAACTCAAGGCCTCATGTTTGTCAGGTTGGTGAGAGAGTACTGAGCCATACCTCCAGCCCTACTCTTTGATTGATTATTTTTAGGATAGGGTCTTATTTTCTACACAGGCTTTACCCTGAGTCATAGCCACCTATTATAGGATTCCCATAGCTGCTGGGATCACAACTATGCAACACTGTACCCAGCTTCCCTTGGTAGAGATGGAGTCTCATTGACTTTTCTGCCTGGGTTGGCCTGGCACTAAGGTCCTTCCAATATCAGCCTTGCCTGGGATGATAGGCATATGCTACTGTTCCCAGCTATCCGTTTTGAAGAGATCTCCTGAACTTTTCTGTATGGTTGGCCTAAACCTTGATTCCCTGGTTTTTATCTTCCCAGGTAGCTGGGATTTCAGGTTTGGTCATTGATGCCTGGTTTCATCCCCTAAACAGGGGCTGTTAAAGGAGAATTTAAATCTGTCCTTGAACCTCATCCTATGAAGGTCTGTGGTAGAATCACAGAACAGCTAAGTTATTATTGCTATACTAAAAGCTTCTTTCTAGAATAAAACACTTGATAGTAATTTAAGGAGAGTTTAATAAAAGGATGGTTGTGCAATACCATGGCACTGACAAAAGCAGAGGAGTTAACTGCATCTAAAGAGGCAAAGGAGAAACAGTGTCTGGAGCCTGAAGAGGATAGATGCATGAGTTTGCTTGGGTGTACCATGAAAAAGCACACATGGACTGGCTCAAGTGACAGAAATTCATTTCCTTATAGTTCTGAAGGTTGGAAGTCCAAGTCAAATCCAGTACCTTTTCTCTCTGTCCTAACATGGTTCAACCTGTGTGTACACACCCCTCTGTGTCATAATCTCCTTCCAGGCTGTCCCTTAGGATTAGGGCTCACCTATATGATCTCATTTCACCTTAATTACCTTCTTCAAGGCCCTGTCTCCAAATAAAGCAACATTCTGACTAGGTAAATTTAGCTACAGAAATTGTCATGAGCATGTGCTGTGGGCTTTGGTAGAAATCTGAAAAGTCAAACGGAAAACTCCTAGTGTCTCACACCTCCCAGAAGGTCTATGGCAGTAACTGGGAGTAACTTAGGTGCTGGGAAAATAATAATAATTACCTTTTACTGAGTGCTCATTTCATGCCTGGAATTTTGATATGTTTTGTACATGTGAACTCATTTTGATCTTTACAATCACAAGAAGTAGGTTTAATCATATTCTACAAATAAAGATCATGGAACCAGGAGAGCTCCAGTAACATTTCCACAAAGTCATTCAGATGGAAGTGCCAGAGCCAAGAGCAGAACTCCAATTACTCAGCTCTTCTCAACCCCGAGATAGTAGTTTCTCTCTCCTACAATAAAAATAGGTTACTGACATAGTCACAAACAGCTACAAAAGCCCGCTTGATCACCTGATACAGTCAATAGCCAGTAACTGTATGTCTCTATCTATCTATCTATCTATCTATCTATCTATCTATCTATCTATCTATCTAGTTTTGAGATAGGATCTATGTAGCCCAGGCTAATATACATATACATATATATATATGTATATATATATGTATACTATATATATATATATATATATATAGTATATGTATAATATATAAATACATACATATCAAGCTATATAGTGAACCAGAGGAATTTGGGCCATTTCATTTTTTCTGTTCCATCAGTAAAGGATCATATTCTAACTTATATGATCGACATGTGTGTTACCAGTCTTACCAAATGCCTAAGAGTTCTACTTCTTGACTTTTATCATAAGCTTTCTTGCTACCATCTCAGTAACTGCTTTGTGACTGTTCTTTGGATCTCCTCCAAGTTTCATACAAACCCTTTGAAATGTGTAGATCAAAACTGGGCATAATACCACAATAATGACCTGAATAATGCAAGTCAAATAACACAGTTATAGCTTAGTATTTGAAAGCTTCACATCCATTAAAGTTCCAAATTTTCCAGTTACACACACACACACACACACACACACACACACACACACACATACACAATGCATGTACCCTACTTGCTTGTAAGCCTACTTAGTGGTATAATGTATCCCTCAGATTTTTAAAAATGTCATGTAATTATGTAGCCACAGATACATTCCAATGTAAACCACTATATCCTTATTGTGGATATTAAATACTTACATATTTACAAATGTTGAAATTATGTTGAAAATTTTATGAATATCGTGTTTTGCTTTTTTGGACTTATATGCTCCTCCTTGCAAAAAGCATGATTATGTTTTTGATGATAAATGTTTGTAGCCCCTTGTGTTTTCTCAGGCTCTGCATCCATAGAAACCTTTTCATTCAAAGCACCTTCTGCATTCTTTTCTTGTAGATAGACATATTTGAGGATAGAATCCGAGGCATTGATATCATTAAATGGATGGAGCGCTACCTTCGGGATGTAAGTACATTCTAAAATTCGAAGGGGGGTGGCTGGTAAGAAAGACAATGAGCTTGTGAAGTTATTTCATGAAAGAAGCCCTGGCATATTCATCCAAGTCTGAGGCTAGGAAAGTGGGACAAAGCGTCTCTTGTTGGAGGCACAGTGCAGAGGCTTGGAGAGGAGGGATGGGGTAGCTCTCCTGGACATGCACAGGCAGGAAATAACAGTCAAACCAGACACAGGTGGTTGATAACAATCAGAGCAAACAATTTCTAGACCAAAATAGGAAAGGAGGAAATGAGGGCGGAGTGTGGGGAGGGAGTGGCAGAATTCAATTGAATCTGAGGCCACCCCTAGTGTTTTGTAGGACTGGGCTGAAGAGGTTTCCTGGGCAGCCTTGCAGGCTATGCAGCATGCCACCCCTGAGACGCCCACTTGCAGCTCCATGATTTGTTTTCCACTGACAGAATCTATACCAGCCACTGGGGCACTTTGTGCTTTAACAAGATAGAAATTGATTGCTGCCAGTGTGTCCATGTCAGGGCGTTTCTCTGGACAGAAGTGTTTTTTTTGGGGGGGTGGTTTGGGGAGTGGGAGGGAGAGCAGACAAGCAAGAATCCTAGCAGGCTAGAATATTGGAATATTTTAGTTTTTTCCTTTTGTCTGCAGCCATGTTTGCTTTATGCTGAAGGGTCTGTTCCTACAGACTGTGCTAATATGCACAGGGAAAGCAGGGTAGTACAGAACCTGACAGCTACATCCAGCTGTAGGGAGGGGAAAATGCTTTTAATTCTCTGGTTGCACTGTGGGGGGAGGGGGGATGGTTGTTGGTGGTGGTTGGGTTTATTTATTTATTTATTATTTATTTATTTATTGCTATGATACAGACTCATCCAGTGATTCAGGCTTTCATTAGACATCTGTGAGAGATGGTTGTAGAAAATGGTGGGCAAAAGCACATCTGCTCAGGAGAGCGCCTCTCTGTGCCATTTGCTCTGCATGTTTGAGGGGTCCTGGGCAGGGAGGCTGGCAGGTGGGGAGTGGAGACTGGAATATGCCTGCCTTTCACTTTCAATGGAGAAGGGCCCCCCTTCTGGGGCCAGCAGGTCAGGGAACAATTTACACGATTCTACTGGCCAGCTTCCAGGCAGCCTTTACCAAATGGATGACACCTCCCACTTCCATAAGCATGCTTTCTCCTTCTAATTAACAGAAGACAGTGATGATAATCGTAGCAATCAGCCCCAAATACAAACAGGATGTGGAAGGCGCTGAGTCGCAGCTGGATGAGGATGAGCATGGTTTACATACGAAGTACATTCATCGGATGGTGAGTGATAGGGGGACCACAAGGGCCCCGCCACCCCTTGGAGATGTGTACCCTCTTCAGGGAGGCTGGTTTTTCCATTATGGACTAAATGAAGGCAACATGACACAGGGTAAAGAATCCCCAGCCTCCCATGTTAGGCCCCAGCTCTGTTTACCTTTGAAACCTTCAGCAAGTCACCACACCTCTGACAGGACTCTGTCCGTAACAAGAGGAGGTCCATCTGTGATCCCTGAGAGCCAAGATTCTGGAAATCAGTGCTCTATTGGTTTGCCTGATTACCTCCCAAAATCTGAGGTGCTAGGAGGGTGGGCTCCTACAGCTGTGTTGTATTCTATCCCCTGTCTTTTCAGAGAGGGAGTGGGATGGATACAAGCTGTTGGCTCACATTTGCTTCCTAATGTACAAGCTGTGTGATCAGAGCCTAACTGCTTAAATTTTGTGCCTCTGGGTCCCTGTTTATAAAACAAGTCACGAAGCCATGCCTGTAATCATAGCTAATTAGGAGGCTGAGATCTGAGGATTTCAGTTTGTGCTCAAGCCCTGAGTTCAAGCCCCAGGGCCAGCACACATACACACACCACCACCACCACCACCATCACCAAAACAAACAAAAAAAACAGGTCACTAATATGTAGTGTTCTGAAGATCAAACAAAGTATTTTTGTGAAGTATCTGACATGTATCAGCTACATAATCATAAGGATTGTTATTAGCTCATGATAAATGAAGAACATATCACTTCATAGGTGCACTATGGGGCCTAGTCAAACTGAAATCATGGGAGAAGTTAAGAGGAAATTAGACTTATACAGCATCTGAGAAAACATTCTGAATGACAATATCAGCCAGCTTTGGTTCTTAGGCTTTATTTATGGCTTAGCAATCCTGCTCTATGTGAATATAGATACATTACAGAGACCATTTCTGCTCAACTAGGAAACCAGACTTGACTTGTGACTTTCAAACTATCCTATGGAATCCCCAGCAGGTAGCCATATGACTCAGGGGATGGGGCTGTCTCTAGACCTCCCACTTCTACCTCGGCTACAACTAGTTATTTCTCAGGCTTCTGAATCAAAGAATTTGAGAATTACAGATGGAAAAATCACTGTTCTAGAACTCATAAGCCCCATTTGAGCTCTCATTCTGTACAAGTGAGGAGCATATGGGTAGGTATAAGGCCCACTAAGACAGGCAGATAAGGTAGAAGGCAGAAATGGCTAAGATGGAATAAGTGAGCAGGCAGCTTTACTTTAGGGAAAGTGAAGGTAAATCCCATCAGCCCTAATAGATTGATAGAAAATGTGGGTGGACGGATGAATGGGTGAACTTCCCCATCATCCAAGTCTTCAGAGCTCTGTGCCTCCTCTTCCACCAAGTGTGGATCGCTCATTGAACTACAATCAACCCAAAGCAAAAGCTGAGTTAAGGTGTTGGGGTTCAAAAGTGAGGCCTAGATTCAAGAGTCAAGTCTGCCTTCTGATGGTCCACACACAGGACTCTGAAGAAGTGCTACTTCTGAAGTAAACTGATCTACAAGGTTATGGTTGGCTCTGGGTACTTCTATCCATTGGCTGTCTACATGTTCCCAGAACACCCAATGTCCTGTCTGCATCTTTAAGAACCTGCCAGCCCCTGGAACCTACAGCTTGTGCTTGGGAAGGGTTCCAAGTCCCTGCCAATTCCTGGGCAAACCTGTCTAGTTCTGTTGGCGTGTGTAAAACCAGACAGAAATATACAGATCAACCTCAGAGCATGGCTCACTGTGCCAGCTGAAACCACACTAACTCCAAACAAATTAGTTCTAAAATATGGGCTCCTTGGGCATCCATATCTTAGCCCCTTCCTCGTTACAGAAAAGGTTGAAAAGGACAGATAAAGAAGCATCTTCTCATCTACCCGACTGACTGATCCCTTCCAGGGAGCTGAAGACCTCGCACAATAAGAACTTCACATGACAGAAGTGAAGAGGCATCCATTAGTAATTGTAGCGTAGATGAAACAACTTTACAGAAAACCAATATCTGGGAATGGGAGAAAAGAAAAACACGTGGTCACTGGCTAGTCAACAGCCTAGAGTGCCAAGTAGACAAACCAAATTTTACAGTATATGGAGTCCTAGAAGTGAGCAATGGAGCCCAGCTCTTCACTTTTAACTTACAGCCCCTACAACTTGCCTACAGGTGATCCCTCATGTGGTTGGTATTTCTAGTTGCACAATACCTGAGCCGTTTAAAGGTATGCTTTTGGTGTCTGTTTTTGTTTTTTTTTCTCTGTATTTTGAAGAGGCACAACTGAGAAAACACCTGATTTCTCGGTTGCAAAAATCAATTGGAAGATGAGACAGTTGGAACACATAATAATTCCTCATCTCCCTGTCATCAGATGACTGAGGGCTTTGTGTTACTCCCAGGATTTGGAAGACTTTTCACTCCCCTGATACTAGAAATTCTGATCCTGATAGACTCATTGGCAGTGAAGTCAGCTTGGGCCACCACTGTGAGGACCGAGTGAAGCTGTGTGAGAATCTCAGTGCTGGCTAACTGGTCTCTTTGCTGTTTACCTCCCAGTGTTGACTCCCTGCTTTCTGCCAAGATCACACTATGCTCCAGCCACTATGCTTTGCTAGCTGCTTTGGACCACATGATCACACTTCTACACCTCCAGACACTTGTGTATGCTCTGCTCTCTGCTCAGAATGTACTTCCACTCTCTGCTCTTTTCCCCACCTGATCCATATCTTTTCTTGCCAAAGCCAAATGACCCATTCTTGTAAATGCCCTTCAAAATCTTTAATGCAAAACAGCCCCCATTTTGGGCTTCCACAGCAATTCAAACTTTTTCCATGGCACTCTGGTTGGTAGTTTATCTGGTTACTAGACTTCTGGCTTTCAGAGGTTGGGAATTGTTACCAGTAGTGTTGTGCCATATAGCTTCTCCAAAACAAAACAAGAAATTGATGTGTAGAACTTACTCATTTCCATGGTATATATACTCTCATAATAAAGTCACTGGACATAGAATTGGTAAAAGAAGAACACAGTTGGCTCTGGGGAACTAATGTAAGCCAGCTTCAGTGTATCCCCATCCTGAAAACCCGAAGTCTGGGTCTATTTAATATCTTCAATAAATGCTTGACAAACGAGTATATGATACAATGTATAATGGGGCAAGCTTACAATTTTATGTGGCACTCAAATAAGCAACCCAGAATAAAGTTGCTGTGTGGGTCTGTGTTACTGTGGGTGCCATTGAACCCATCCTCATCCTAAAATTAAAGCTTTCACATTTGTTTGGTTTCAGATGCAGATTGAATTCATAAAACAAGGAAGTATGAATTTCAGATTTATCCCTGTGCTCTTCCCAAATGCCAAGAAGGTAAATAAAGAAAAAGCATCAATTAATCTTCAGTTTGTTTGCCACCTGAAATTTTCACTGGAAAACCTTGTCAACTCTTTGTCAATCCTTAGACACAGCAGTGTTACCAGAAAGATCAACAAGTTGCATTACTCAGTTCAGTAGTATGAATCAGAAAAGTTGTAAAGTGTTATTCCATAGGATCTTGGTTGTCCAAATTGTTCAAATGGTCATTACATACAAAGAATTGGTTATGCTTTAACTCATGAGAGAAAAAGAGACTGACTGTTCATCTAATACTTCTTATCTCTTAGACGCAGGAGTCAAGATGTTGACCATTTTGCTGCCTGTTTCATTCAAATAGTTTGGGTTGAACATAATTCACCTCTCAAAGCTATGTAATAGAGGAATTAAGTTCACGCAGTTCTCTATGTGAACGCTGCTATGTGTTACGTGAGGATTTTTGTACCAGAAGGGCATGCCACCATGTTGAGAGAATATGGGAAAAACCATCAGAGGACATGTTCTGGGACTAGCAAAGGAACAGCAGTGGTGAAGCAAACATCTTGAGAATCCAACCACAGCACCCTAAGCCCAGATGTGATTTCATCCTAAGGACTATAGACATCAGAACTGCCCTGTGACCACTGCACTGAGTGAGGGAGGGTCGATTTTATGTGAATGGAACAACTAGCGTTTATAACATGCAACTCTGTGATGACAGTTTCTCATCCTGCCTGTCCCTTTCATGCCTGAGAGTCAGTGCTCTCATTTACTGGTGATGTCCATACAGGTCTCCCTTTCCATTTTGGCCTTGTCCTAACCATTCTCTGCTCTAACACCAAAGAGGAACATCCAAAAATGTAGGTGTTGAGCTGGACATTGATGGCTCATGCCTGTAATGGTAGCTACTCAGCAGATCCTCAGATCTGAGGATTATGGCTCAAAGCCAGCCTGGGCAGGAAAGTCTATGTGACTCCTATCTCCAATCAACCACTAAAAAACTGTAAGTGGAGCTGTGGCTCAAAGTGGTAGAGCACTAGCCTTGAGCACAAAAGCTCAGGGACAGTGCTCAGGCTCTTGAGTTCAAGCCCCATGACTGAGAAAAAAAATGTAGGTCAAATCTGTCTCTAGATTTAAAAATTTTAAATGTTGTGCCTTTTTCCCATTGACTACATATCTACCTTTCTTAGGCTAACCTTTAAGGCCTCCCAGAAAAGGCCTGTACCCATTTGCTCAGTCTTCTTTCCTATCATCCTGTGTTCTGCTTTGACAGTAATGGGCCACTTCAACAGCCCCTCATATGTGCCATGTTTTCCCATGTATCTGTGCCTTTGCCAGTTCTGTTCTCTAAACTGTCAGTCTAGTGACTCTCACTTACCCTTACCTTCCTCCCATCTCTCCAGCCTCCCTTGAGACCTCTCTAGCCCCATGCCGATATATTTCATCATCCCTCTTGTGAGAGCACTTAATTACATAGTACTTTGAATCAATGGTATGTGGTTGGTAGTGCAGAAAATAATTGTTTAGAATTACTGGAGCATGGTGATATAAAAAACAGACCAATCTCTAGTTGGTTTTATTATTGTTCTTAAATCCCCTTCAGACAATTGTCTAATTGCCTGAGCTCAAGACAGACTGCTTCTGCCTAGAAAATAGGTTATGTATGTTTTGCTACCATTAGAGATTTTGAGGACCTTAAGTCAGTTGCTGTGTCTTTCTCAGTGGGTAGCCTCGGTGCACAACAGGATGCCTGACTTATACCAGCTGCTGATTCTAAACTTACCTTATAATTTCCAAAGGAGTCCATCTCAAAGTCAAGACCGAAGGCCTTAGAATATACTAAAGGCTCTATGGGATACATGCCTTCCACTCCCAGCCTTCCTCACCTGCTCACTCGGCTCTAGAAACACTATCCTTCTTTCTCTTTCTTTCTTTCTTTCTTTCTTTCTTTCTTTCTTTCTTTCTTTCTTTCTTTCTTTCCTTCTTTCTTTCTTTCTTTCCTTCTTTTTTGGTACTTTGATTGGAACTCAGGACATCATGCTTGATAGGCAAGTGTTCCGTCATTCCACCCCTTCTTTTATTATTTTTATTTTGGGGGTCCATTCGTGGGGCCTGAACTCTGGGCCTGGGCGCTGTCCCTCAGCTCTTCAGCTCAAGGCTAGCGCTCTACCACTTGAGCAACAGCGCCACTTTGGCTTTTTCTTTCTGCTTATGTGGTGCTGAGGAATCGAACCCAGGGCCTCAGGCATGCAAGGCAAGCGCTCTACCAATGAGCCACCTTCCCAGCCCTCATTCCACCCCTTCTACCTTGTTGCCTCTAAACAGACTCTGGCACATACTCCTACCACAGGGTCTTTGCACTGGCTCTTCTTTTACCTTTCCCCTAGTGCTCCCAAGGCCCTTTCTCTGTTTAATTTTACTCCACAGCACCTATTACTATTGAACACACTACCCATTCTCCATAATTATTATCTGCCTCTTCCCACAAGAAGGTCTACACTGACTTAAGGTCCTAAATCAGAAACTGCACCCCCCCATTCACTCCCCACACAGAACCCCACAATTACTGAGTCTGCTTTTGTTTGATAACTGAGATCTGATCAGCGCCTTCTACTGCAGGCCAGATCTGGGGCTGGACTGAGAGGATAATGAATTAGATTAAGCCCATAGCCTTGGCCTCGGTCTCCTGAAGTCACGGGGGAATTCACATCACTCTTTGTGACCCCTGTCCTACCCCTTTTATGTGAGGGTGGTGAAAAGCATGTTGAAATGCACAGGGCAGGTAGCCTGGGAGACTGACAGAAAATGCGGTGCACATGTGGTTTCCATAATGAGATCCACAGCTCATACCCAAAGCCAAGAGCATTTCACATGTTAAATCCCTCCAAAAGCAGAACAGCACAGCTCCCAAGACAGCTTGGTAGGAAACATCTATGAAGGGAAAGCCAGAGAGCTTTGGGAATGAGCCTGGGATCTGGAAACCAGGTTTTTCCTCCAATGACCTTTGCTCCTGTCATTCTCTCTCCCGCAGGAGCATGTGCCCACTTGGCTTCAGAACACTCATGTTTACAGTTGGCCCAAGAATAAGAAAAACATCCTGCTGCGTCTGCTCAGAGAGGAAGAGTATGTGGCTCCTCCCAGGGGGCCTCTGCCCACTCTTCAGGTGGTACCACTGTGACACTAGCTATTCCCACATCACTGGGGCCATGGCGAGAGCTGTGAAAGCATTCTTCTAGCTGAGGCTGGTTGGTGGCACTCATAGTTTCTCAGTCCCTCCTTGGGTCTCAGGGAAAAAAAAAAAAAAACTTGTTCTGCAGCGTACTCTGCCTCTGGAGACGACTGACTGGCTGTTCTGCATTCTCTGCTTTTTAAAAAACCTACAAGGTGCCGGTGCCCAACATCTCCCTGCCTGATGGATCTGTTCTGGGCCTCACAGTGCTTAGAAAATGAAAGTGAAGTGGCAGCAAATGTACCATACTCTACTCTCTAGCGATACTTTTATGAGCAGGCCATATGCTGGGGGGCGGGGTGTGGTCATCAGATCATACTGATTCTTGTTCAAATAATAAAATGTTTACTCTTTTGTAAGAGTGTGTTTTACTTATCTCTCTGGCGATCAGTCATATATTAATTCATAATGAGACAGGCAGTTGTTTCTTGGGCCATCAACAAAGTTGCTTAGATATAATATTAGATAAATGTAAGACCTCTGCCAAGAAAGAATTAAAGTGAGAGAGTAAACAACATCTTTGACATAATAATTATGAAAGTTTTATTCGTACAGTTGATGTTTTTAACAAAATGATTTTGTATAACACATGACCAGGATTCTAAACATCGTGACTGGGCTGGGGGGGGGGGCGTGAAGCTCAGTAGTAGAGCTTTTTCCTAGCATTTGGGGGTTACTGGGTTTAAGCCCCAGCACTGTATGAAAAACAAAACCCTGTAATTATGGATCTTGGGGTCTGTGTATGTAAAATATTTGAGTATGTGTCTGAAGTGACAGATATATAATACAGGCAAGAGCTATAGTTTAGAAGACCTGTTTTCTAGTCTTGCTTCTATCCCTAACTCCTGTTTACCGTTACTAAGTCTCTTTTACATTTCCTAGTATCTGCAAACTTCAATGACATGGGGAAAGTGTCTTGAATGACCCTAAAACATTTTAGGTCCAGCATCTAAATTCCAAATACTGTTTTAAGGACTGAATTTTCATTTTCATAATCATATCTCCTAAGATATAAATTTATAGTTTCTTTAAAAATGTTTTAAAGTTTCTTTTTTTTACTAATGCATAAAACATAAATTATATATTTAATGACTATATTTTCTTGAGAGACATTTTCTTTCTTCTTTAAAGTATCTTCAATAATACCCGTAAGAGGGCTGGGAAGGTGGCTCAGTGGTAGAGCGCTTGCCTTGTATGCATGGGGCCCTGGGTTCGATTCCTCAGCACTACATAAGCAAAACACAAACAAACAAACAAAAAAAACCAATAATACCCGTAAGCTAATAAAAATTTGGCACATCTGATTTCCACATCTAAAATATGTATACATGTATATAAAAGTATAAACTAATTATAAAGCAAGGTAAGTAGCTTTGTAGCTCATGAGAATAGATCATTATGAGCACTTTATGTGGATAAGAGCTACTGCTTCCTCTTGTTCATCTACCTAGCCTCTTAAGCAAGTCTCAACTTTGCTACAGCTAGCTCAACCCTTGTGTCATCACAGGAAAGGATACATATTTTTCAAGTATAAATAAAAATTGCTAATGAATTACAAAGACTACTAGTTTCATTCACTTTATAATGTAGACATCCACTTAGTAAACATCTGATTTCTAAAAAAGGGAAAGATTAGCTGGGCACCAGTGTCTCACACCTGTAATCCTAGCTTCTCGGGAGGCTGAGATCTGAGGATCATGGTTTAAAGCCAGCCTGGGCAGGAAAAGTCTGTGAGACTCTTATATCCAATAAACCACTCAGAAAAGTAGAATTGGCACTGTGGCTCAAGTGATAGAGCACTAGCCTTGAGCTGAAGAGCTGAGGGACAGCGCCCAGACCCAGAGTTTAAGCACTACGACTGACAAACAAACAAACAAACAAACAAATAAATGGGGAAGATGGGTTGGGAACCTAGCTCATGTGGTAACGTACCTTCCTAGCAAGTGTGAAATCCTGAGTTCAAATCCCTGTGTGGTATAAGTGAATGAATGAATAAATAAAAGAAAACAAAAAGTAGCATAACTTAAGTATTCATTTGTAAGATTTTATGAAAAGAACCTTTATTTCTGTAGCAGTCAAGCTGTGATAGAATTCAAATTCTAGTTTGGTCCACTCAAAATTCACAGAAAATATCCCTAACACAAATTTCAGGTCTTCTTTATCTTGTTTTAATTTTTTGTTTTGGACTACATTGACAACATTACTAAGGATTCTATCCAACTATAGAAATAAGATGACATCAGCAATTATTATTCTGAACTGTTTCTAGTTTGCAATGTTATGTTCTTACTACCCCCTTTAGAGACTGGTCCTAAACTACCATCCACTAGTTCTTTCTACTCTTCCTATCCCAGGTGTTTAAGTAAAAGGTCCCTGGTGTTCCACAAAATGTCATTACAGTCCTACAGGTGGTGTCACTGGACGCAAAAACAAAACAAAACACACACACACACACAGAGCCACCTGACTAACTGATGACAGTTTGTTGCCTGAAGTTTCAAGGAAACCTGATGACCACCAACATCAAAGGGATTTTTAACAACTATTTTAGAGCACTGACAGATTAACACTTGGTTTATTTAGACATTATCCTGGCCCTCATGTATTCAGCTGTAGATATTTTGGGGATGAAGTGAAGGAGGACTGACAGTAAAAAATGACTTTGTATTTTCACCCTAAGGCTTTACTATACTTGAACTGATCTCTGGGGCTGGGTATGTGGAATGCAAAGTTTAGATTCTTATTTAATATTTAGTTGCTGATTTCAAGATTTAAATGTAATTTTTTAAATTTTAGTAGTTAGTTTAGAAATACTTGCTTGTCTGGTTTAACTTCTGTTTTTCAAAGACATCTCCATACATGGCTATATTCAAAATATTATCCTATTTCTCAGCATAGCACTCAGAAAAAAATGCTGTTTGTGCCATTTTGTTTCCTATTAAATAAATCTCTTTAAAAACTGAGTTTCTCTCAGAGTCATCTCAGCAAGGGGTGAAAGCTCTCTATCTGGAACATTCCATCCTTGTTTTATGATGTCTTTCCAAGAGCATTTTCTCCCTCTCTTCTTTTTTTTTCTATTTTTGAGACAGGTTTCACTGTATAGCCCAAGTTGGCCTTGAATAATTTGATCCTCCTGTCTCAGCCTCCCTAGTGCTTGGATTATAGGCATGCACCATCATGCCCAACCCAAAAACATTTTTCTTTAACCCCAGCTACTTGGTCAACCATCCTATCCACTTTGCCAAACATTCCATTGTCACCATCACCTTTGCCAAATGGATTGCAAATCCTGTGACCACTGGGAAATGAGCCAGAGAGAGTTGCTTAAAACTCACTGACTTTCTGCTTCTTCTTAATCAAGAAGAATCAGTGGGACCCACATCCTAGAAGTAAATGAAAAGAAAACGCTGTTGCAATGTAGAGGGGGGAAAAAATCCCACAAAGAAAAAAGGCCTGTCATCCCAGAGACTGATGAACTCTTTTTCAAAACAATTTCATGTAAGAACACTAACTAAACAACAACAGAAATAAGAAGGAAGAAAGAAAGTACCAAAACAAACTCTTAGAAGATTTATATCTGTCGTGGAACTTCCAGTCTGGAAGCAACCCTACAAATGACACAGTGTTGTATTATGCAGAGCCCAGAAAAACATGGTTTATCAAAGGTTGTTCCAGGGCCAGAATCTGGGTAATCTTCCCAGATTGCAGATATTGACTAGTGAGCCTAAAAAGCTTTCTGAGTTTTGATGGGAGCTTTGCTCCATAAATGACCCAATACCTCCCTGAGGTAAATGGAGCCTGGTAAATGTGGGAGGCCTAAGGGAAGATGTACCTTGTCCTCTGGTGGCTGGAGGATTAAATGATCATGTTGCAAACTTGTTCTGTGAACAGTTCTTCTGGGAATTAATTATTACTGTGATTATATGGAGTATGGCTTTTCTTGAATTGGTTTGGCATATTTATTTTGTACTGGTATTATGTGAAACCAAGGCACTCCTTAAAAGATCCTGATGCTTTCCTGAAACTTACAGATAAAATCTAGTACAACTTAGATTAATTTCTTTTAGTTTTATCTGGCCAATTTCAAACACATCAACAGTGAAAAGGATTTTTTTTAGTTTTAAATGCTATGATATTCATCTTTCTCTCCCATTTCTGACTACAAAGGTGGCACTTGTTGGAACAGTAAGAAACCTTTTACAACATGTGCATTAGTATTCAGCTGGAGAAATGGGAAATGTACAGATCATGCTAACTCTCTTTTGGGTGGAGTGAGGCACCAGGCAGGATACCCTTTATCAGAAGGCCTATCAATAGCACAAAACAACCTTGTTCAGGCAGTCAGTTGGCTTTCTTATAGGCCATATGTCCAAGCAGAGTAACACGTTTCTAACATCATACTGACTTGTTCCCATTTCTACTGGAAATGTTTTCAATTAGAATCACAGTATATTTAGTGGGAAGTGGGTGGCTTTCACCCTATTCTATAGGAGCCACAGTCCCCATCATCTGTGACTAGCTTTGCTCTTAAGTTCTTAGCCTCAAGATAAGCAGGTGGGACCTATAAGAGTCAGTTAGAAGTTGAATTTTCTGATGAGCTTTTCAGGGAGCCCAGGACCATGGGTGTAGGTTATGTTTATTCAGATGATTAGGAAGTGCTATTTAAGCCTTTGCTAAAACACAATGACTTTGCTTCAAAGTGTACCTGGGCAAAAGTGGAGGATACAGTAGGGGCCTGCTTGCTTGTTTCTAGAAAGTCTTATATGAAAAAGTAATTACAGCCCCCAGCTCTCCCAGGGCTTGTAAACTAAAACCATGAGGGCACACATTTCTTGTCTCATGCTTGACCTCCCTCTGCTCCCTTCACTGGGAAGGCACTGCTGTAGAAGGCAGCTGGGGAGAAAGGAAGGAGGGAGAAAGCAAACTCGAGAGGACACCTGCCTGATGGATCCCATTAGGCTTAGTGTGCAAAGCAAGTTGAGATGAAGTAGCTGCTCTGGTATGCGTCCAAAACTGCTGTTCTATTTTTAGTTCCTCCTGTGTGCTTTTTGGCCCTGAGTTGTATGCCTGGATACCTGGATCGGCAGCAAAACGTGGAACTAAGCCACTCATTTGTAAAACTGGAAGGATGGAGGCTATTGATGCCGGCTTGTTTATTGCTGACAGGGAAAAGGGACCTGGAATGTTAATGAGGATGGCGCTCTGAAGCATGCCTGCATGGTTAGCAAGGAGTTCAAAGGAGAAGGCAGACTCAGTCCTGTGCTGAACAAATGTGAACCACTGATAGAGAGAAGAAGAAATCAATTATCCTGTCGCAGGCCTCCATGTCATTGTATTGGCGTTGTTAGGAAAGGTAGGA